CCTGTATTTTGTTGTTAGATTATGCTCTATTTGATGAAGCAATGGAGGTATTTAGGTTGTTTCTTGGTCAAGTAGGCTAGTAGTTTGGGAACACCTTATCAAAAAATTAGCATGCTAAATGAGAGGGGACTGTCCACGAGAGCGGAAAATAACTGAACAGACTTACTGGTAACAACATTATCTGATTGTAAACTGCTTACATACCCTAACACCTAGGTTTTTCTGACCCTACTATGAAACTTTGAAAGAATTGAGATCTTTAAACACCTGAAATAAAAAAGGACATACATGAACATGTTGTTTAAAAAAAAAACTAGTTTTCCACTTACCTGACTTATAACTGTAAGTCCTTGTCAGCATCTATAGGTTTTTTAAAAAAAAGTTTTTGTAAAATAGAGAAGTCTGTAGTTGTCCAGAGTGTATTCACCCACAGTTGGAATAAAACTCCAACAATGTATCACTAAGCTATGACGGTTATTTAGGTACTGAACCTTAGAAGCAGTGCCCAAATGTCAAATGCTCCTTACCTTTCATTCCAAAGGTCAAAGAAAAACACCAAAGATCATGACTTTCCCACCTTCAGTGTCCAATGTGTGGGTCGGAAAATGTCCGCTATTTTGTTTAAGAAATCCTAAAGTTTTATGAACAGACAGTCCATGAAATGAACGCAGGCCCAATGATGGCTGACCCTCTAGACTGGTGTTTGAAAACTTTGAGAATTTTCTGTGCTGAACCTCCCGTGAGTTCTCAACACCAGCACTACATGCAAAAGTGTCTGCTATAAAATCATTATTTTTACTATCAATGCAGATGATTACTACCCTGCGGCATCATTGCCTTGGTCATGTGATCATAATCAGTCTCATTTGGGCCGAGATGGGCCGCAGCTGGATAAATCTGTGTTGCAACAGGTACATGTAGAAAATTCATTCGTCATCACGGAATTGAGATAAGATTGATCAGAAGATGCATGAAATCTTGATATTATTAGGGATTAATTGGTCAACCACAAATACTCAACGGACAGGAGGATGCAGTAAATCATAAATGTTGGTCAGAGAAAAGTGTCAACCTGTGGTGGGGAAAAAAACAGTTCTAGTAGCATTGTTTTACACTCCAGCATTCCTAATTGGCATTAATTACTGGGCAGTGGCGGTAATGACTGTCTTTAATCCCACAGCTTCTTCTGGTGTCTCGGTGAGGCAAGGATGATTTTTGTGTTAATTTCACGACAGGTGACTTGAATATAAAGTTCCAGTTCCACCGGTGCCTGTTGCAAAACTGTCGGTTTAAAATTTAAGTATCCTCCCTTCTGGTCCCGTATTGGCTGAACAGTTACTTTCTGGTGCATTGTAACATGCTACCTGGTTCCTTGACCCTGTATGATATCTATGAGTCCCTGAATAAGCATAAAGAGAAGCACTGGCACATGGTTCTTGCCTCAAGGTATCCCAAAGTCTGTCTGCCCAGAAGGAATGAGCTCAACTTCACATAAAAGCCAAGTGAATGCAACAACAGTGAGAATTTAGTTGCATTTTTGCTTCTAATTTTTGTTTTTGTGTTTTCTTTATCCCCCATTTAAAGGTCAAACAAGATTGTGTTTACCATGTTGTTTCATAATAATCTGTTATTACTTGTACTATTACTGTGCATATTTTCAGGCTTTTTCATACCGGGCTTGATTAGATACATTATTTTTATCAAGGGAAGTAAAAAGTGTTTTGAATGATTTAGGTTAATATCAAAGGGTAACATAAATCAAGTCTGTTTGTTTAAGTTTTATTCTGGAAGAAATTCCTTGTTCCTGAAAGATAAGAAGGCTGTGGTGTCATACATCAAGAGAAATCTCCGACATAGACACAATGGCAAGTTGATCAAAATTTTTTTAGGGTGAAGTCAGATTTTGCTGTTTATCATTTTTGCTTACTTAAGAAATTTGAATACAAGTGGCCAGTGGCAATGATTTTAAATGTTATCATTATTACTTTTAGTTTTCATGCCTCGTTAATTGTTTTCACTGAAAATGTCAGTAGTTTCATTTTATATCAGTTTCATAAGAAAAATAATTGTACCGTTCTGTTTTGGATCATTTTTATATTAGATAAAGAAATGAGCACATGGATAAAATTCCTTATAATATCTCTATATCTCCAATTCATTGAAGCGGTACTTTCTTCCTTAATTGAGACTTGAATTGGCGTAAAAGGCTGGTGCATCATAGGCCGTATGGACAAGTATTTCACTTAAGAATGTCAAACTTGCAGTACTTTTTAATTTTCTGATCCAGGCTTGATAGGCAAATGAGCTTCTCCTCAATTACTGTAATTAGGGGTTTATTAAGAGATGCTTGCTGACAGACACCTAGCTGCCCAAGTGAATTTCCGTTAAAACAAGGCACACATACCTCACAGCTAAGCAATTTGTTGAAGGACTTGGATTTCAACAGGGTTGCCAGCTCCACACATTAACATGTATTTCTGAATACTTTTTAAAATTGATTCACTTTGTTTCTAAGGGTATTTAGGCATTTTCTATTGTTGATGATCTGATGAGCAATGAATCTAGACATTTAGAGAAGTATGATCATGGTGATAAAGTTGTGATTCTCATGCTGGGTATGTTTTATTTCAATAGTACACTGTTTACAAATTAGACATTAGTAATTTTATCTCATGTTTGTATGTTTGTTTGTTTGTTTGCTTTAGTCTCTCAAAGTCTAGACCCATTCTCACATGTTGAGTAGAAGCCCAATGCTCTTTTTATTTAGGACTACAATAGGCCAGGTTGTCGTTTTAGACAGTTTTCAGCATGTAGCCTTGACCTTAGCACATGTATTTATGGGAAAATTATTATGGCTATATTTTCTAAATAAGTGTAGTTTTGACTTGAAAAGACGGCGAAGGGAAAACTAGATTTTTTATGTAGTTAAAAGTGTCAGCATCCATTTCATTGTACTATACTGATATAATAATAATGCTGTTTACTCTGTATCCATCCCTTAATAAACCCAAATACACACATTTATGTGCATGCACGTGCATTGTGTGCACACACGCACACACATGCGCGCGCACTGATCTCATTACAAAATCTTTTAGTCTTAGTAGCTGAGTGGCACTTAATAATTTCATCACAGACAGCCTTGTCACCCTTCTAGTTTTTACATCTTGGATAAACACAATGTATCAGTTGAGACCAGCAGTGTAAAAGGAGAAGGGTCTTCCTTGATTCTTGGAATGTAAGACACACATAAGCTCTTTGCATAATTATTAGTTACTGATGGCAAGACTCAATTTTAGTGTCCAGTATCTGTATAGAACTTGAACATAGACCACAGAAACCTTCACTGCCTGCTTTAAGTGAAAAGTTTTCTATGCTAATCATGAAATATTTCTACCATTGATATCCATATAGATTTGTGCCATAATTATAAAACATGATAATAAAAACAATGGATTTTAAAAAAAATCAAATTAATCTAGACTGAACATCAGCTGCATTTATGTTGGTATATGAATGGATGACTATGGCAAAGAAAATGAATCATGGTCAGTACAATCTGATGTGCGCCATAGTGGTTATCAGTATGATTTGAGTACGATGCTAGAGGGGTGGCTGTACGCTCAGATGAAAGTAAACTCACCGTTCTGTTTCCATGATTTTAAAAAGACTCGAGACAAAAATAACTCGCATCATGCTGTGACCAGCTTTTATCTATATTTTAGGTTTTATGAAAAATTTGATGACTGTGTCAAAATGCCACAGACTTCGGCTCGTTAATTAGTGAGTTTTTAATCTCGGTTTGATATGTGTGACAAGGAATTTTATCTGTGCTGAGACTGTAGATCCTGTTGTGTTCTCTAAGTCTGCTGGTCTAATTGAGCTTCTTGTAGAGATAGGTGTGAAAATAGGGCTTGATAGGGCCTTAATAAGGTACTTGTTACCTCACCAGATGTGTTAAGATACAGGCCAGTGTCACAAAAAAATTCAAAATTATACACTTTTTGTCAGGTGGAAGTCAGGTAGTTCCTTAAATGGTGTGAAAATTTATTCATTGAAACTGTCACGACAATTGATGATTAATCTTTTCACAAATTTAGGCATTAAATCAGCATGTCATGCATTTAGGTAACTTCCTTTTGATATTGCATTTGCACTCAATTTTTAAAGTAGGGTTTGTACTACAGGATTCTTTAGTATCAGTTAGTTATCTTATAGATATGTTTTAGACCTCCAGCTTGGCAATTTTCTTCTGGGACATACGTCGTCTTTATCCACACCCTCAGTCTTTACTGTATTACATGTTATGTTGTTAGGATCTGTTGAGTTTCTAGAAACAGTGAAAGGGTCAGTGAAATTTGTTTGTAGTTTGACAGATGACACCATATTGAAGACAAAGTATAATGTAATGGCAACGCTGGGGTCAGGAAGAGTGATTTACGGTTAAGAAAAATGTAAGATGGCACAAATGATTTCAAATATGTTAATTTTCTGTTTTTTTGCAATAGAATGAAAAAAAAGCAGTTATCTATAACACACTATTTTTGACTTAACTGTCATTACCAAATGTTTTTAGAAGAACAAAGCAAAATACTGATACCCATATACTTTTTGTTTCAGAACATTTTTTTTCCAGAATATTATGCCCCACCCTTTTCCAATTTTTTCAGGTGCAAAGAAATAATGATAATTGCAAAAGCCTTATACAGGGTCTGCACAAGTTGTGTTAGAACCAGGAATAGTATTTTACAAAATATGTTTGTTTTTGGCTTTTCTGTATTTTGGTAAAAAAAAAATCCACCCTTTTCCCTTAAAACTGTTTGGTTTTTTCATGAAAATATTGTTGTTATTTGGTCTTATGTACTGTAGATCTATGAGAGCAAGCATGCAGTGCTTTTATTTACAAAGGAACAGCCCTGCAGTTCCAGATTTTCAGTTCCATGCAAAATCACCAACCATCAGTTATTCTGACTCTCTCCTTTTTTTTCTATGGCTTTCAGGTCCCCACTGTGGACCCAAGAGCAGTTCAGCTAGCAGTGCTGTTTATGAGGGGCCTGGCCCTGGGCCTGGCAGTTCTAGGAGCCTGTGGGTACCCCATCCCCCTTTCAGCAGGCATGCCATGGAGATGCTTCGATGGGAAGCTGTTCCATCTCAAGTACCTGCAGGCCAGAGACGGGGCAGATCTGGCATCACTGTGTGACTATTATGTAAGTATCAGAAACAAGGGTGGACCTTTTTTTTTTTTTAAGTGGATAGCTGGACACACTATTTTAAACTCTTTTCCACACGCAACAAGCTGTACAATTTCAGGTGTTCTGTTGCTAATTTTCTCATCATCTCTATAATTAAGCAGCCTGATAAGGATATGACTCATGATTCTGACACCATTTTGATAAGTTATTGTTTAGAACCAAAAATCCTCACCAAATTGAATTTAGGCCATGAATGCCATGATAAAATATGGGTGTGCTGAACAGGGTGGATTCGAAGGGGAAGGTGAGAATTGCCCTTTTGGAAGGAGGTGAAAAGGTCCACTTCTTTAGAAAAAGACCCTTCCCCCCTTTTGAAATTGCTGTCTGTAAGCCTGACCATAGTTGTTTTGGGTAAAATGTGGTTGTCACAGAAAATGTCACTTTATCAAAGGGCATCTGAAGGACCTAAAAGTTACAGAGATGTTAATGTTTAGACAACTGGTAAAATGTTATTGATCAGGATTTCTTAAAATTTGTTAGCAATTGTAATATAATTTTTGGGGAGAAATGATTTGAAGCTTTTTGGACAGATGTATAGTGTGATGTGATATGATATGATATGATATGATATGATATGATATAATGAAATAAAAGTAAAAAAAATAAAATAAAAAAAGTGATAATGATAATAATAATTAAAGAGAAAATTTGATTTAGTGTTTGCTTATCACAGATATCTTTCTTGTCTGCAAATTTTTAATTATGGTAGATGATCTCAGCCAAAACCCTTTAATGTAATTTTTCTCTGGCAGTAATTACGTTATTTATGCATCTGTAAGGAAGAGTGTGACACATAAATTAATCCCACAAAGCTTTTAACACCTTTTAAGTGCTTTTTTTTTCAGACGAGAATTTTTTATCAGAGACAAAGCATTTCTGTTAAGTGATAAGAAAAAAAGCTTCTGTCTGGGGAATGCTATTGTCTTACGTAATGTCTGTTTGGCCTAATGAGGAGTATGATATAATAGTAAGCTGGGTAGTTAAGATAAGAGCATTATTTTCCTCCCTTGCCTATACCCAGGCATTGGTTTTATCCATCCACAAAGCCCTGTGTAGTTTTAAGTAGGCAGATCTGTGGATACTCATTCCTGAATAGTGTTTTCCTTGTTAGGGCCCTGTGGTGAAAACAAGTGGCACATGTTCATGTATAACTAATACTAGATTTGCCTTAACTTTCAGCAAACCTTCATTTTTGATGTCACAGTAACTGGACAGACATAATGGATTTTCAAAGGCATTCACCAAATTAGTTGTGCTTTAATTAAGTTTTTCTAATGAAGTATGATGCAATCAAAAGTAGACAATCCATCTCCCAAGTACCAGACATAAAAGTACATTGCACCAAATGGAGCTATTTGCATATAAGTGTCATTGTTTTATCATTTTTTTAGGGCCCGGCAATGGAGACATTTGATTACCTGAAGTCACTTATTGTTCTTTCTACCCGGCTTGACCAGTGAGCTGGACAAGGGAAGCAGTTTTCTGTTGAGGAACAAGATTGTTCACTAGCAAGGGTAGAGTCATCTATTGTTTCTTTTACATGACTTGGTCAGAAATAAGGACAAAGTGTTCTGTTGAGGGTCAATATTGTTTAAGAGCAAGGGTAGATTAAGCTTTTTTTTACTTTTTTTATTTATTTATTTTTGTATTTTGCAAAAGGGAAACTTGTATATTTCAGAACAACAAATATCAAAGCCTTTTTGCAGAGAAATAACCAGCTAGTATGGATTTTTATATAACTTGGCCAGTAAAAAGAACTGTGTATTTGAAGAGGTTTTCACTTGAGGCAAAAGATGAAGCTTTCCTTTCAGAGCAAGAACTAAGCAAGTATTTATTTTTCTCTAAAGTTTGTTATATCTTGGCTAGTGTTGAGAAAACTGGATTTTAGGTTTTCACATAATAGTCCTTTCCTGAAGTGAATGACAGAGAATATGTTAAAGCAGTCACTGCATGCAGTAATGTAATCAACATGCTAACTTCTGGAACTGGAGCAATTTTTCACACCTAAGCAGCCCCAATTCTACTCAACTTTTGAATGTGAATAGTTCTGAAAACTTTCAGTATTTAAAGCTGGGAGGATTCAGCCTAAAATTCAACCTAGCCTGCAACATTTTACACATCAATTGTCTCTAATTTGTCTTATTATCACATGATGCCGATTTGACCTAATTCCCCTTTTAGAACTGTCCTCGTCTAATTGCATCATTTGTCTCGGATGCGTATCAAAGTGCTTGGAGATCAATTGTTCACAGATGTCCATCTGTTACTGTCTACACCTGGTACCTTGCTGCTATAAGAATGGTACAAGGTGGTTAATGGTGGGATTTTTATCTGTCCCTTTTTGGTTGTTTGATTATTTTTTTTAATTCTCAGAAGGTGGCGGTCAATAATGGTGAACTGAAGTTTGTTTTAAAAGATAATTAATGGGCGTGTCACCTTACAATTATGTATATAACAGTTGAAGGGGAGGAGTTTAATGATTGATAAAACTAACGTCCGAGAGGCACTTTCCTTGATTCACAGTCATTGACGTGGTAATAGGTTTGCAAAGAAAAAAAAAAAAAGGAATGATTTAAGTTTTCATGATGTATAGTTTAGGTCCTTTTCCTTCTCAGTGCTATAATAACAATGTGGGAGGTAAAGGAGATGTTTGATGTTTGGCTAACCATGGGCAATCATCTTTTAATTGTAATATAAAAGTTCAAATCATTTAAATGATTACTCTGGATTGGTTAACCAGATTAATTTTTCTAAAACTCTCAAATTTGTATTTGGTTAGATTTACTCTTTTACACATTGTACGTATTTACAAGGAAGTGATCATTTCAGAGATTGACTGGTTTTAGGGGATTTTACTTTGAAAAAAATCATATCTTGGATGTAAGTAGCACCAGAACTTTAAAACGTACAAGTTTCTTACGATATGAAAGTACAGTGTAAAGAGAGTGTTATTAATTAGTTAAGAATCAAGGGGTATTGTTAATGTATATATTCACTTAAAAGTATAAACTTTTTCATCTGTAAAAAATGATTTTTGAGCACCTTATTTGTTTGATATATTATGAAAGTTTTTTTTTATATATAGTTATCTTTTTATTTCATTGATTTACATAGAGTTTTATTCATGATGTCAAGAAGAAAAAGCAGTCAACTTTTTTGTTTTATTTTTTAATGCATTTTATTGTTGATGATCAGAATTGAGTGTGAGGTGAAAGTTTGATAATGAGACACTTTTTTGAATGGAAAGAATGGGCATTTTTGGCTTAAATATGAGAGCTTTTGGTAAGAAGGCAGTCCTTAGAACTGTATGTATGGATGTTGGATAGTTTTGATTCATATTATACTTTTTGCTTCACTTTCAGAGATTTTTTCCCCATCATAAAATAATGACGTCTATTTTGTAAATATTTATCATTTAGAGACTTTATTGGGTCCTTACATATGTTAATCTTATATGTTTTACAACATTTATATAAATACTGTTAAATTATAAAATTATAAAAAGAAAAAAAATGAAAGGTATGTCTTAGCAAGTCTTGTACATATGGACCTTGCCATGTATAATCAGTATATTATGTATATGAATGGGCTTCATATATGTAAAAACCAGGGATTGTATTTTCAGAAGTTTGTGAATAAAAAAACATTTATCACTTTCTGGTGGGTCAGATTTTAAAACTCAAATAGTTAAAACCTGACATACAAAGAAGTGTCATTGATTTAGAGTTATAAACTTTTGAGAATATGTCCCAAGTAAGAGAGTTTACAATTGTTTTTAGATTGGTTAAGTATTATATACATTGTTATTATATAGCAAATTTTCATGCTGTAATAACCCTTTTGGCATGGAAATAAACTATTGTAGCTATTATACTTGGTGTTCTGTCCTTTATTAGAATTTTTAAATAACCTGCATAAAGTCACCATTTTATTCAGGGAAATCATTCACAGGTGACATGAGTGTACGGGTTTATTCACATGAGTGGCTGTGATTGTGATTATGTGATAGATACAATATGAGTCGCCAAGCTGTACGTGAAATATTACGAGTGTATTGGCGAGCCGCAGGCGAGACAATACACGAGTAATTTTCACGTACAGCTCGGCGACGAGTGTTGTATCTGGCTTAAACCACGGCCTCTGATTGGCTACTACACTAGTAGTGCAACAGACCGTGGAACGCACTCGTACATGACGTGCTTGTATGTCGAATACAGCACGGTCGAGTCTTTTGTTCTACGCGCTAGCCGTGGTTTAAGTTCCATTATAGAGGCAACACCATATATTCCTTTGACATATGTTGGACCCATTATATCTTGCAGAGTCTACACAGTATTATCACAGATTTATTGCAATCAACTTTCCTGTCTTAGAACAGGCATTTTAAAGTGAACTTTCTTTCGGGTGGATTGGACCTTTCACTAGAAAACTGAGTGATGCTGGATCAAGTGGAGTAATTAGCCAAAATTAAAAGCCGTCTGTATTTGCACAGATTTTTTAAATTCTTTGAATAGGGTAATCCTTTAAAAAATCCATTATTTATACTTAACTTCTGAAGAGCTTGCATTAGTTAATACCAAATAACATGTGTTAGGAAGAGGTCTTAAATGTGTTTAAAAATAATATGTTAATGTTAATTTTTTAACATTGAAAATATTTACACAATAATTACAGGATCATTATTTGATGAAAAAAAGTCTATCAAATATCTAAATTTCTCCAATTGTATGGACCTTAATCAAAAGAACATCCACTATACCATAACCATATATATGCTGTAGTACTAGGGAGTGCTTTGCTTGTCGTCAGGATGATCAAAACCGCCATTTGTATTGATTGAAATTGTACATTGTACTCAGTGCTTCCTCTTGCCTGTTCAATTTAACTGGAAATACCATGGTATTTTTCATTTGTTTATTATTATAGCTTAACATCAAACGGCAAAATTTTATCAGGTGGCTAATGACAATTTCATCATCTTGACTCTACTAATTCGTCATATGATGACAAATCTATATACTCATTGAACAGCAGTAGTAGGTTTCATGGTGATGTTTGTTATTAAAGCGTAGAATTAATTACACTCTAGTACTCATAATTGTCTACGTGGAAATCAAAGTCAAAGAGCGACATTTTCCATTTGGCATGTTTTAAGCTTTACAAAATAATGAATTGTACACAGAACCCTTTTATAATTCTAGAGTTGCAACACTTAAGGTCTTGATAGGACAATAAACCTACCTGATACAACAAGGGACCAAAAGCTGATCAGAACTGTCATGATAAATGACTAAATGATATTAAATAGAGTATTAAAACACTGATTTGAAATTAGGATTATTAATATTCATAGCTGTTATCAAATCAATTCTACACCTTTGGTAAGAATAAAAAAATAACTGTAGCTTGGAGAAGTTGGGAGTAGTTGGTTGATGTGAAAATGGGCTGTTGCATCATCTAAGTGTACACAAACAAAAAAAAAAGTAGAAAACCTGTCTCCAAACTTGTTCTCCCGCTGAATACTTCCAATAAAAAAGAATTATGTAATTTAGCATGATACATTAAACAGGCTGGAAGTATCCAGCAGGGGATCAGATCTACTATGTATATGTGATTCTATGTATGAGACTGATGGAATATATTATTCCAAAGTAAACAAACTATATATACATATATATATGTAACAGTTTATTAGCCTGTATTTAGTATGAAAACAGTATGTATTATATTATATTAGTTAACAATCAAAAATAGAAAATGAAAGTAAAATTCACTTCACTTTTTTAAGTACTTAACCCAGAAAAGGTGCATATTTGGGGTTGTGGCTATTAAACAAGGCAATATGAACTGTTAATTTGGCAAGATTTATTTTTTTGAGAGTTAAGAAAATTGTATTTTCTTAAAGATTATAAGATTTAATTTCCATTAAAATATACTTCCTTTTTTGTACCATCCCACCAATTCAAGAATGAAGTATAGTTGAAACAAGTGTTATGTATATATTTGACAATATGATAAACTCATTCTCATTCTATTTGTACCAAGTTTTACACAGGTCATACTCATACTATATTTAATGGTTCATTTTTTAAAACTTTAGGGTACATATTTATTTCTGTTTAATTCATAGCTGCAAGAATTTTAGCTTTTGTTTAACAGCATTTCCCCATTATCCAGAGAAAACGATAAAATGGCAATGTATTGATCAAGGTAGTGACAGTCAGTCCAGGACAGGCCCAACCCAAAGTTTCATCTCACCTGACGTCAATGAGATATAATTCATTTAATATGCACTTACTGACACCCTTCTTTAAACAGAAACTGGCAACTTGTACTGCAACTAATACAGGACAGATGAAGTAAGACACCAATGGAAAGGTGGACAAATACTTCAAAACTCATCAGTTCCTTGTGATACAGTAATCAATTAGATTTCAGATATTATCTGTTAGATAAATATGTCTAGTCAACTTCTAGAATAATTGATGGAATCCATTGTCACATAGTGACAAAGTTAGGTACACTATCTTTTGAACAAATATTTCCAGAGTGAGTTGAATCCACAGAGATATGAATTATTATAAATACTTCACTTCTTTGGTATTTTAATTGTTGAGATGCATATGTTTTAGAATTAACGTTATTATAGTCCAGGTCAATTCGTGTCAGGTTAAAAGTTTACCCTCAGTATTTTTCCTTGCACAAATTATAATCATAATGATGTGCAAATTCAGCAGACAAAGATTGAATGCAGTGCAGTCATGTGGGTACCATGATTTCTCTGGGGGGAATGAAATATGTTGTGTCAATAAGAATATATACTCTGTGTTAATTTTTTTACATTTTTGAAAATATTTTGGATTGATGGTAGCTGAACAGAAAGACTGACCATCCACACTGAAGAGTTAATGGCCAATGAAATGTTCTCTGAAATCTCCCTTACTTTTTGAATACACAACATACATGTGCAGGCATTTTTAAACAATGGGATGGCCATGCAGTTTTTCAAAGCCACACTCTGTCATAATGAAAAAATATTTTCTTACCTAGACAATAAGAAAGAAGGTATTTCTTGTCATGACACTTAGAGCTTGGCAATTGGAATTTCTACAAATAACTCACATTTGTCTGAGATTATTGTATTACAATTTTGAATTCATCTCAGAAAGTTAGAGGATCCCAAGGAATTTTTAAGATCTGCAAGTAATCATGGTTGCTAACTATTAACAATTTTCATTTTTTCTAATAGAAAAATCCATCTTGGTCTAAATAATAAACATGGAGTCTACCCAGGGCCTTTTAAAGTTTACATATGATAAAAAGAGTTTTATAAAATGCAATGAGTTTTATATGTGTGAAAAAATGGTATGTATATCTGCTAGATGCTATGGATGTCAATTCAAAAAGGGCTATATCTATGTGCCAAAGAGACATTTTAACATTTTTCACCCATCAAAAAGGGGTTTCTTGTTCAATTAAATTCAAGTTAACTTTTACAACTAACAATTATACTATGTAGCTGTTGAACTGGATAAGGAAATATCACAACTGGCATATGTTACAGTCAAATTACCTCGACAGATAACCCTGTCAGCTTTTGTATAATCATCCGACAACCTATGTCTCAGCTGGATGAGTCATAAAAAAATCATCTGCGGATTTTTTTTTCAGAATTTTCAATAGGGATAGAATCAGATGATGTAAACATTTCACATCCATCTCTTCTAGTTGCACAGGGAATGTCACAATCATAGAGTATCAACACTCACAATAAAAAATCAAAGAACCGACCCACCTTACAATGATACCCCTGTAGAGTGGAAAATACACATTTTTCTACACACAAATCTTCGCAGGGTCCGATCTCTGGAGAATATCTACCGCAGGGCGCTATTCTCGTGGGAAAATGTGAACAGAATTATTGAAAGACAAAGTCATTTAGAAACTTAATGCACACTGTATTGATTTTTGAAATGCAAGCCCTTGGTTGGAAGTGAGTGTCAATAGGCCAGTCCAATCAGAGAAAGGATTGTCAAATCCTAGTTCCAGCCACTGGAGCACTTTCTGGCTTGCCATTAAAGCAGCTTCCACTTAACGATTGTTCTGCGCTATTTGCAGAGCACTTTGATGAATATTAATTTACACAGATGAAAACATTCATTTGCCTTTTTACGTGAAATGTACTAAAAAACTGATTCCAGGCATTGCATAGCATTTACTGAGTGCGCTCGATCTAAGTTCACATCTATTGCACTTTAGTTATTTTGGAAGGCACTACAATAATTCCCATTCAAAACCTCCAGTTGTACACTCTGCGATAAACACTTTGCCATTAAAAAGTCAGAATTTTAGCAATTGTTATACATATAGGCAAGATGGTACAATGCAGCTAGAAGAAAGATGTCTGGTTTTGTAAGTAACAATTGCTTGAACTTCTGGTTGTCCCGCTGTCCATTTGCTGCACTCATCTTCCTAGAATGATCAAGAATCAATAAATATGTTCATACACACCATCTACATGTATTTACTCAATAAAAACACTTAAGCAGACTTAGGTTTTGCAGTGTTTCTTTCAGAATCCTGAGGTACGATAAGACAACCTTTTATAGTCCATTTTTTCCATCCTTAATCATTAATTTGATTTGTAAGTTTCACTATAATAAGTTTTTTAACTTAATAACACACAAACAGATTGCCAGATAAAAAAAATTCCGTATAGTCACATTTTGTAGATATTTTTCTCAGTTATCAACGTGGCGATAGCTTTATGCAAACAAAAGCATTAGATCTAATCCCGCAATTGATTGGCTATTCATGCAAATTCAACTTTGTTCCTGTTCCTCTGAACTCAATTTCCCTCTCAAAACACAGCAAGTGTGAGAATTAACCAGGTACTACTGATAGTAAGAACGCTGGAAAGTTACCACTGAGATTTTTTGCTTTGTGATATGTGTGAAATAATGTTCTAGCCTCAAGGTCATTGGTTTTTTCTGTGAAGCCATGTTGATGTCAATTGAACACGTAGGCACAAAACGTACATGTGTGTGGCAAACATTATTGCAGTTTTGTCTGTCAGAAATAATTCAATACTGGTCATAATTAGATGTTTACTAATCAAGGCTTGACCAGCTTGAGTATTCTGATCTTTTAACAAAATTCTGTCTTGTTGTTTTTATTGATTATTTGTGCTTACATGGAAAACAGAATTGTTATAATAGTGCTGTTAGTTTATTTAAGCATAATTGACTGAAAGTACTGGGAAAGAGATCTTACAAACAGTGATTGGTAGTCTTAGAGGCATTTCTAAAAACAATGGTCATGTATTGAACACTACCAATAATGTATTGAAGGAAAAGTTTTCTGTGCATAACGGTTTACTCATTGTTCAACATGCAAAGTCTGAATCAATGTTCTGTACGCATTCAGTGACAATGAATGTTTCTTGCATAATCCAACAATTAACAATAAGTTGGTTAAAACCAAACCATTGAAAGTGGAGATTAAAGTAGTTACTTGGTCAAATCAAACAAAGATAACTTGAATCTCCCAGCATGAATCAATAAAATGACGTCTTCTTTGTTGGCAAACCTTTTGAATCTCACGTGCTATTTGGGGTCATTTTCTCACGTTTCGATGAAAAATTGCATAATATAAACTCTATATTTTTGTGACATATCTTAGAAATAGTGGTACATCCTCTAAAACTGACAATTTGCAGGATGAACACAAATTGAAGCATGTTTGTTAAGGCTTTGTTGCCTGGCTTTTGTGTCAAATTTCTTTAATCGAATTTAGATGCCTCAGCCTGAAGCCCTATGCTAATTACATAATATTCTGAACACCCATGCTATTATTTTATCTGTTTTCTCTGTACTTTTGACAGCTTTGTTGCCTTATTTAACCAGTACAGTCAAAAGAAGCATGCAGGCAGGCTATGGGCTATTGTCCACTTTTTAAAGCCATATGTATATTTCAACAAGTCAATAAAATATTTTGTCAAATTATTTTACAAGTAAAATGATTTCCTATTGTCTTATTATTTTCTAACTTCAAGTACATGGTTGTTTTAATGTTTTATCTTCTTTTTATTCTTCCATCTCCCAAATATTTTTTATCACTTTCATAATGGTTAATACCATCACTTAAAATCTGATTCCCATGTGCCTGGAAGTTGAAGGAGACCATAAAGATCATTACTTTTTGATGTGCATCTCTACCTCAAACTCTCCGATGCTTGATGTCAACATTAAAGGACAGAAATGCGAGATGATAATGTGCTGAACATTGTCAGGTGTGTGTAACAACAAACCTGTGATGTTTTTAGAAAGCAATTTTCTTCCGATTGAAACTAATATCCATTGAACCTTGGTGCCAAGCATGTTCTGAGGATTAGTGGCAGTCAGTACAACTTCAACCCTGCTGTCATTCATATCCTTGGAAATTTAATATAATACATAAGCTTGGCATTTGTCCCATAACAAATAAGTCTCAATATCTAGTTGTCAGACGTGGTGGTCTTGTTTCATGCGTCAATCTATTGTTTTTCTATAATGAGAGATGTCATGGTTAACCTTTTTTCTTTGCAACCGAAAATGGATTCAGCCAGAATGACTCCATTTTTAGAAATATGTATACATCTACAATTTAACTATGTGCCATCAAATATCAACACTTGATGACTTGGATGCAACTAGGATGATGCCATCATTCTGCTGCAGTAATACTTACGATTATGAATTTTTTCTTTGTGATTTTATTTCACATAGATTTCTTACTCAATAACACTTTTTAAAATGACTGAAAAATCCAGCTGACACTAGTCTCAGCTGCGCAGTGTGTAGACTAGAATGTACAAATTGTGTTAGTTGAGAACTTGAATTGTGTTAGTTGAAACACAATGCCAACAGGTGTCAAAACTGATACCAGTCCATCAGATGTGACAGAAACAGATAACACATTCTTTATCTTTGCATTTTAACTTTGTATAATTTCATCAGGCAACATCTAAAAAATTTGGGTTCCAGTTCTACGATATTTTAAGATGTTAAGTCAAATGTTACCAAACGCATCCCAACATTAAAATTTTGGAATCAGTTTTATTTCAATTAGCAAAACTTTTTTTTTCTATTTCGTTTGTGGAAAGCGTAAAAATAATGAAAAGAACCAGTAATCAAAAAGAATTACTGTATTATTCTGCAAGAAGCAGTACAATCTAGATGAAAAGTTACAGAAGTAATGTATGATTCAGAACTTTGGGATGTTACAAGAGCCTGGGCATATAAACACAAACTTTCTATCCAATGTTAGGCCACACTTTTTTATTTTTATGGATGACATCCTCTGGGTACCCCAAAATCGGTGCGAGAGGGCGAAAAAAAAAAAAACAGTCCAAAAAAANTTGCTGTCATTCATATCCTTGGAAATTTAATATAATACATAAGCTTGGCATTTGTCCCATAACAAATAAGTCTCAATATCTGGTTGTCAGATTTGCTGGTCTTGTTTCATGGGTCAATCTATTGTTTTTCTATAATGAGAGATGTCATGGTTAACCTTTTTTCTTTGCAACCGAAAATGGATTCAGCCAGAATGACTCCATTTAAAAAATATGTATACATGCACAATTAAACTATGTGCCATCAAATATCAACACTTGATGACTTGGATGCAACTAGGATGATGCCATCATTCTGCTGCAGTAATACTTACAATTATGAATTTTTCCTTTGTGATTTTATTTCACATAGATTTCTTACTCAATAACACTTTTTTAAATGACTTCAAAATCCAGCTGACACTAGTCTCAGCTACGCAGTATGTAGACTAGAATGTACAAATTGTGTTAGTTGAGAACTTCAACACAATGCCAACAGGTGTCAAAACTGATACCAGTCCATCAGATGTGACAGAAACATAACACATTCTTTATCTTTGCATTTTAACTTTGTATAGTTTCATCATGCAACATCTAAAAAATTTGGGTTCCAGTTCTACGATATTTTAAGATGTTAAGTCAAATGTTACCGAACGCATCTCAACATTAAAATTTTGGAATCAGTTTTATTTCAATTGGCAAAACTGTTTTTTTTTCTATTCCGTTTGTGGAAAGCGTAAAAATAATGAAAAGAACCAGTAATCAAAAAGAATTACTGTATTATTCTGCAAGAGGCAGTACAATCTAGATGAAAAGTTACAGAAGTAATGTATGATTCAAAACTTTGGGATGTTACAAGAGCCCGGGCATATAAACACAAACTTTCCATCCAATGTTACGGTTAGTCGGTCTTGAAATTTTTTTCAGAAGACGATTCTCTGCTGGCATAATCTTTTTCACTTAGAAAATTTCATCAAACTTGAAAATGGGCCTCTGGATAATTTTGAAAATTTCTTCGCCTAATATGGCCATGTTGGATTCAGGCATTTTCAAATATTAATTAATTTTTAAGTAATGCAATTTTCTAGTTTTTATCATGATTTTTTCGAAACTTTTTTATGTACCGAGTCAAAACAACATGGAGTCAATTAATCAGAATGTTATTTTAAAAAGATACATTTGACGGGTAACTAATACACTAATACAAAATTTTTATTCTGGTTTCGTGGTTTTCTGATAAGTACCACATTTGGTATATGGTCAAAACAAACACTAAACAAGCATTAAAGCATTAAGTAACATCTGTTCATTTGAATAATTAATTTTTATAACATCTGGTAAATTTATTGAGAATAGATAAGGCGTGATGTGTGACAACTTCTTTTCAATTTTGCATTTTCATACGTGTCTGTCATGTCTGAACTTCAGTTTGATTGAAGATTACTAAGCCAATCACAAAAGTTAGACAAAATGTTCAATACATCCACAACAATATAATTAGTCTTTTATGGGAATGTGAAATCCAGATTACCAAATGAGCTTTTGTTATAGTTTAGTAATCTTCAACTGAACTTGCCACAGTGTCTCTGAGTGAGAAGTGAGCAGATATGGAGGCTAGAAGACAAAGCTGTTAGGCATCGGGCATAAAGCTCAGGATAAGACTTATAAGTTAAAACTGTTTTACAAATAAAATCTTTTGTAGCGTATCAGCATCTTTGCTGTTCAATAAGAAATTCACTTGGTGATCGTATCAACAAGCTCTATACATACTTTTCTTTGCTATTCAATAAAAAACTTAAATAATGATGTTCAGATGCAGAACAGGATACAGTGCAAAAAGACTGCTTTGTAATATATGGTATAAGAAGAGGGCTAAAAAAGAGAGGAATCCTGTTAATAAGAATGGCAACTATCCGTTTTCTGAAAATCACTTGATATTCATTACATGAAATATATCTTGATGGACTGGCAATTTTAACATGCATTAAATATTTTCTGCTGATTATATTCCTTTATTTACATGTTACATTCAAAAGAGTAGTGCACTTTCAAATACGTAGGTCACAACTTAAGGAAACTATTACTGCATTTTCAAATACCATATGTACAAACTTCAATACATATAACTATTCACAGAATAGGTTGCACTTCTGCAAAGCTTAATGAACCAAATCAAGCCTCCCTGAATATCTCCGATTTATTTGTCCACATTATCTCTATATGAGAACAACCATTTGGAATAGTTTCTTCCAAAGAAACAACTGAACTGAGTGTCTTTTCCCCAACTTTGCCATTTTCTCTCTCTCTCTCTCTCTTTTAATGTAACAGTCATTTATGGGCTTGGTACAGACTGACTTATGTTATCGTCTTCCAAAGAAGCCAGGGGACCATTTTGTACTTATTTTGGGCTGCTCTGGAGGCTTTTCAAACTCTGCCTGTAAAATCGAAAGAATAAAACATCAATTTCTTCCTGCATTAAAACCATACTTATGTCATACTAATCTGGTTATTAAAGGTACAATATTGAAAAAAAATTAAAGAGTGTATGCAAGGGAATGTACCATACCTTGCTTTCAGCGATACCATTACTGTTTTTCTCCTAGGCAAATTTGCTAAGATATGACTTTATTGATTCTACTGCTTTAGTAAGATTTAAAACTTTAAAAAGGGGTGCTGCAATAAAGACACATTTCTCTTACCGCTAACTCTCTCTTTTTCTCTTTGAATGCTTCAAGTGGATCATCATACTGTTTGTAATAGTCCAATACTTTTCTCACATCATCCACCCCACTTACTGCTATGGCTTAAAAAATAAAGCAAACAGGTAAATAAAATAAATGGATAAAAAAGTATGTTCTAATGTAAGTAGAAAGCCTTAATATGTTAAACGCTCATTAGAAGAAAAAAAACATATCACTTATGTAATATATTTGATGCATATATTTTACATTTTGTTATGTATTTTTTTTCCTTAAAAGCATTCTTTCATAAAGAAAAATTTGAAAAAATAAGGAGTATGATCCACTGATGAAATACCATCAATACATCATGGAACATTTTTGCTGAAGTAATGATTATCTTCTTGTTTTCAAAAAGTATAACAATGAATAAAACTGCCCTTTTTTGTACATCCAAACTACAGAATGATCCACCATATTAAATGAGATTCTGCAAAAACTAGGACAGAAAATAACCGCAAAATGCATACTCAATAATCTATGACCATAAATATCAATCAAATGCCTTAAACAGAAATTACACTCAAGATGGTCTAGAACTGTTGTTCACCTCTGAGAAAAGTTGCCAAATCCACCAAAGTCCTGTCATCTCTGTCTCCTGTCCATTGCTTCAATCCCAAGGAATTTCTGGGGTGTTTTTGAAATGCCTTTGAGTCAAAGTCTACAAATATCACTTTGTTCAAGTCCCTGTTCAGGCAAGAAAGGTCCTGAAATGAAGGCAATGTGCACGTGAAAGCAGACTTATTTTACTTAACATTTTACACATAGGTTAGACTGTTGTTAGATGACATGAAATCACAAAATAATGATTATAATTATTATAATAACAAACAGTAAGAAAATATAAACAAGATAGGCTACGTTGTGTGTGAATCAGTAGAGACAGATTTGTGTACGCACACAAAAACGTATTTACATATTCATTTTTTTAAATCAACATTTATATTATTTTACCAGCTAATTCTGGTTAAAAAACATTTTTATTCATTTTTTCAAGCACAGTAATAGCCAGGAGTTGTTATATTATATTATATTATATTATATTATATTATATTATATTATATTATATTATATTATCAAAATCTAGATCACTTTAACTGTCTTATAGTATTTACTTTGACATGGATTCCTCCCATTCGTCCTTCGGCCTTGTATTCTGTGGCATCTCGGAACAATCTATACATAATGTAACCATTGGGATCTAAACTGTTAATAATAGGGAAAGCTGTCTGGAAAAAATACAAAAGATCCCATTGAAAGTGCAGCTTTTCAATTCTAATTCAGAAGTGAGAGTTTCAGCTTAAACAACGAGTGTATTTTTAAATATTCTAACATGGAGGATCAAAGAGAGAAAATAAGATAAGAAAAAATTGTGTAACCATTATTAAGGTAGTAATTAACAGTAAATTGTCAAAATTTGGGTGTTTTTCTGAATTTGTCAGTATTAGATAGATGAAATATCAACTACATATCAGCCTATCTTAAAATAATGGAAGTTTACAAATAAACCCGTAATTTCAGCCTAATTGCTGATTTACCCCTGTGGTAGCATGTCTGAGTTTTAAAGTAGGTCACACTTGTCCATATATGTGTTTGATTGGCAGCTCCACTGTGCAGCTGTATATTTCCCGTACTAGATTGCTGCTAAGCCTTTCACATTCTGTGAGTAACGTTGGGCTTTCACTTGCCAAACAATACTTTTCATTTTGAATTTATCAGTGAACTTAATTCTGACGATCTATTAAAGCTTTAAAAAGCAGACATATAGATGAGACGTATATGGGCAAAGGCACTCCCCCTAGGTGTCACGTGGTGAAGAAGGCTGACGTCACGACTAACATGGTGGCTGCTGTCAATGCATGGAGGGGGCCTCCGGTTGAAAATGTTCAATAATAATGTTGAAAATGGATGAAAGACATAGTGACAGTTACATAGGCAGTGAGTAGAGGGCTGAACCAGTATAAATAACTAAATTTCTCAGCTTGCCAATGCAGCTCACTGATTATATAACGTTGGAATCTCCGGGGAGCACTAAAAGGCTGATTTCTCCGCTTCAGTTTATGGCTTCAAGAGAACGATTTAGACCAGTGTCAAAATTAATTAGAACTCTCAACCGATGAAAGCTGGTATTCATTCGTTAGATCTAAGGTTTGTCTGAAAGTATGTGTCTGGGATTTCATAACATCAGCTCCGTTTTCAACTTAGGCATGCTTTAGTTAGGCTAGGGGGTCTCGTTGAACTGGAAACCAAGTTTATTTTGATATCTCTGCTAATTTAACACATATCGCTAATTTGAGGCGCATTCTTGTTGATCCCTATGAGGGCTCACGAATCAAGCTGTCTACACATGTCCATTTGTAGTGGACTTCTAGTTTTTAAGGTGTAAAGATCATGTTGAGCACACCTATTAAGCATTATATCTCATTACGTAACGATTGCATAATAAAATAAGGATATGAAATGAAGAGCTGTTGAAATAAGCTTTCTATTGATATGTAACATGTTGGTATATCTTGGCCGGTTTAGAAGATAGCTACCCCCGTTATCTACATCCTTAAGAACAAGAATGTTGCTACCTACATTGACCTAGGCTATGAATTAAACCGAATGGCAGAAGTTTAGCAATAAAGCATATTGCCTACTTACATACGCTGGCATAGAGGTATACACAACCACCTCAAACAAGGGGGGCCCACACTGCTGGAGGAAATAATCCACTCCTGGGCGCTTCTGGTAGCGCCAGCCTGTTACAAACTGAAAGACAATTTATGAAAATTACATCCAAATTTCCACTTAGGAAGACATCAACACAAGCAAGTAAAAATATTTCTTAAGATGAAGTTATAAATAAATCTGGTCTAAAAGATCACCATTTGACTTCTGCAAGAAGAAAGTATGAAATTTTCACATAAGTTCAATTACAAAGGATACTTTAGTTAGTAACCAAAAGATAATCATTGAAAAAACATAACATTGCAATTTATACAAAAGGCATTTGAATTTTGTGGATCAATCCTTTTAAGCCATTTTTTTTTNGCAGGATGTCATCCATAAAATTAAAAAAGTGTGGCCTTATGGTTAAAAATTTAGTCGGTCTTGAAATTTTTTTCAGAAGCCGATTCTCTGCTTGCATAATTTTTTTTCACTTAGAAAATTTCATCAAACTTGAAAATGGGCCTCTAGATAATTTTGAAAAGTTCTTCGCCTAATATGGCCATGTTGGATTCAGGCATTTTCAAATATTAATTAATTTTTAAGTAATGAAATTTTCTAGTTTTTATCGTAATTTTTTCGAAACTTTTTTATGTACCGAGTCAAAACAACATGGAGTCAATTAATCAGAATGTTATTTTAAAAAGATACATTTGACAGGTAACTAATACACTAATACAAAATTTTTATTCTGGTTTCGTGGTTTTCTGATAAGTACCACATTTGGTATATGGTCAAAACAAGCTTTATACAAACACTAAACAAGCATTAAGTAACATCTGTTCATTTGAATAATTAACTTTTATAACATATGGTAAATTTATTGAGAATAGATAAGGCGTGATGTGTGACAACTTCTTTTCAATTTTGCATTTTCATACGTGTCTGTTATGTCTGAACTTCAGTTTGATTGAAGATTACTAAGCCAATCACAAAAGTTAGACAAAATGTTCAATACATCCACAACAATATAATTAGTCTTTTATGGGAATGTGAAATCCAGATTACCAAATGAGCTTTTGTTATAGTTTAGTAATCTTCAATTGAACTTGCCACACAGTGCCTCCGAGTGAGAAGTGAGCAGGTATGGAGGCTTGAAGACAAAGCTGTTGGGCATCGGGCATAAAGCTCAGAATAAGACTTAAGTTAAAACTTTTACAAATAAAATCTTTTGTAGCATATCAGCATCTTTGCTGTTCTATAAGAAATTCACTTGTGGATCATATCGACAAGCTCTATACATACTTTTCTTTGCTATTCAATAAAACATTTATATGATGTACAAATGCAGAACAGGATACAGTAGAAAAAGACTGCTTTGTAATATATGGTATAGAAGAGGGCTAAAAGAGAGAGAGAGAGATCCTGTTAATAAGAATGGCTATATTCCGTTTTCTGAAAATCACTTGATATTCATTATTCATGTATATCTTGATGGACTGTCAATTTTAACATGTATTAAATGTTTTCTGCTGATTATATTCCTTTATTTACATAAAATTACATTCAAAAGAGAAGTGCACTTTCAAATACGTAGGTCACAACTTAAGGAAACTATTACTGCATTTTTAAATACCATTTGTACAAACCTCAGTACATATAACTATTCACAGAATAGGTTGCACTTCAGCAAAGCTTAATGAACCAAATTGAGCCTCCCTGAATATCTTTGATTTATTTGTCCACACTATCTCTATATGAGAACAACCATTTGGAATAGTTTCTTCCAAACAAACAACTGAACTGAGTCTTTTCCCCAGCTTTGCCATTCTCTCTCTCTTTTAATGTAACAGTCATTTATGGGCTTGGTACAGACTGACTTATGTTATCGTCTTCCAAAGAAGCCAGGGGACCATTTTGTACTTATTTTGGGCTGTTCTGGGGGCTTTTCAAACTCAGCCTGAAAAATCGAGGAATAAAACATCATTTTTTTCCTGTGTTGAGATCATACTTAAGTCATACTTATTTGGTTGTTACAGGTGCAAAATCGAAAAATAAAAATTAAATAGTGTATGTAAGGGAAAGCACCATACCTTGCTTTCAGCGATGACAACCATCACTGTTTTACTCCTAGGCAAATTTGCTAAGATATGATTATGATTATTCTACTGCTTTAGTAAGATTTAAAACTTTAGAAAGGGGCACTGCAATAAAGACACATTTCTCTTACCGCTAACTCCCTCTTTTTCTCTTTGAATGCTTCAAGTGGATCATCATACTGTTTGTAATAGTCCAATACTTTTCTCACATCGTCCACCCCACTTACTGCTATGGCTTAAAAAATAAAGCAAACAGGTATATAAATTAAATGGATAAAAAAGTATGTTCTAATGTAAGTAGAAAGCCTAAATCTAAAGCCTAAACACTTATTTAAAAAAAGCACATATCACTTATGTAATATATTTGATGCAGACATTTTACATTTTGTTATGTATTTTTTGCCTTAAAAGCATTCTTTCATAAGGATAATGATCCACTGATGAAATACCATCAATACATCATGGAACATTTTTGCTGAAGTAATGAATATCTTCTTGTTTTCAAAAAGTATAACAATGAATAAAACTGCCCTTTTTTGTACATCCAAACTACAGAATGATCCACCATATTAAATGAGATTCTGCAAAAACTAGGACAGAAAATAACAGCAAAATGCATACTCAATAATCTATGACCATAAATATCAATCAAATGCCTTAAACAGAAATTACACTCAAGATGGTCTAGAACTGTTGTTCACCTCTGAGAAAAGTTGCCAAATCCACCAAAGTCCTGTCATCTCTGTCTCCTGTCCATTGCTTCAATCCCAAGGAATTTCTGGGGTGTTTTTGAAATGCCTTTGAGTCAAAGTCTACAAATATCACTTTGTTCAAGTCCCTGTTCAGGCAAGAGAGATCCTGAAATGAAGGCAATGTGCACGTGAAAGCAGACTTATTTTACTTAACATTTTACACATAGGTTAGACTGTTGTAAGATGACATGAAATCACAAAATAATGATTATAATTATTATAATAACAAACAGTAAGAAAATATAAACAAGATAGGCTACGTTGTGTGTGAATCAGTAGAGACAGATTTGTGTACGCACACAAAAACGTATTTACATATTTTTTTAAATCAACATTTATATTATTTTACCAGCTAATTCTGGTTAAAAAACATTTTTATTCATTTTTTCAAGCACAGTAATAGCCAGGAGTTGTTATATTATATTATATTATATTATATTATATTATATTATATTATATTATATTATATTATATTATATTATATTATATTATATTATATTATATTATCAAAATCTAGATCACTTTAACTGTCTTATAGTATTTACTTTGACATGGATTCCTCCCATTCGCCCTTCGGCCTTGTATTCTGTGGCATCTCGGAACAATCTATACATAATGTAACCATTGGGATCTAAACTGTTAATAATAGGGAAAGCTGTCTGGAAAAAATACAAAAGATCCCATTGAAAGTGCAGCTTTTCAATTCTAATTCAGAAGTGAGAGTTTCAGCTTAAACAAGGAGTGTATTTTTAAATATTCTAACATGGAGGATCAAAGAGAGAAAATAAGATAAGAAAAAAATTTGTAACCATTATTAAGAACAGGAATGTTGCTACCTACATTGACCTAGGCTATGAATTAAACCGAATGGCAGAAGTTTAGCAATAAAGCATATTGCCTACTTACATACGCTGGCATAGAAGTATACACAACCACCTCAAACAAGGGGGGCCCACACTGCTGGAGGAAATAATCCACTCCTGGGCGCTTCTGGTAGCGCCAGCCTGTTACAAACTGAAAGACAATTTATGAAAATTATATCAAAATTTCCACTTAGGAAGACATCAACACAAGCAAGTAAAAATATTTCTTAAGATGAAGTTATAAATAAATCTGGTCTAAAAGATCACCATTTGACTTCTGCAAGAAGAAAGTATGAAATTTTCACATAAGTTCAATTAAAAAGGATACTTTAGTTAGTAACCAAAAGATAATCATTGAAAAAACATAACATTGCAATTTATACAAAAGGCATTTGAATTTTGTGGATCAATCCTTTTAAGCCGTTTTTTTTTTTTTTTTTCACAGCACTTCATAAACTTACTCCCCACTCTGGGTGCACCAGTACATCTTTTATTTCCAGTACCAGAGTGTATGGCGGCTGGTAATAAGGTTCAGGCAGGGGGTCAGGAAGCAGCTTTCTGTCAGACGGTTCCGCAATAGCCTGAAAATAAAAACATAAAATGTTAGTGGTCAACTGATATCTGCATGACTCCATTCAAGTACACATTTTCAAATTCAACATTTCATTTTCAATGATTTTTTTTAATAAACTAAGAAATACAACAATAATAATAAGGCACCTTATGCCTTGAAGACTCACTTCTTTTGTTAGGTTGATGTTCCTCCATGCCCTTTTAAGAGTAGCCTCAAATTTGGGTACTTAAAAAGAAAATTTCAGAAAATTTAGAACATACTTGATCAAGAAGTGTACAGGGCTCCATAACTCGAAAACATCGCAAATTGCGACTGAGGGCAAGCATGGTGATTTCTCACTATCCCATAACTCAAAAGCATAGCAATATGCGACAGAGCTCTAATAGCGGTATCACCTTCAGTTTTGAGGCTATTATTTGCGATGAGCAAATCCCATTGCAATGGCCTTTGCACATGCATAATTCATCATTTTATAGTGTCTTTCATGTAGTTTAACATGGTGGCAAGTTTGGGTTGCTTGTCACATTAGCATAAAACAAAGCATGAAAGCTTATAAAAGATTGAGTCACTTGGTACCTCTGATAAAAAAATTGCAGTAAATTCTCAATTGAAGAATGCTAAAGTCATGTACTATAATGCATGAAAATTTCAAAATTAAATTCATGTATCATTTTATATTTTCTGATCTCTCGATTAGCATCATCTACTGAAATAAAATTACATTATGTGAAATTGTGATATGATGTCTTCACTTTGTGTGGCAATCAAATTTTAGTAGAGTTCGAGGTTATAATTGCATTACATTTGTTAATGCTTAGAGTTAGAGGGTCAGTTCAATGAACATTGCAAATAGCAAATGATCGTTATACTTGCTTGTGGTCGCAATTCACGATGCTTTCGAGTTATAAAGCCCAGGTTTTTGTTTTGATTGCAAACTGTTTAGAATGTTTGTGGGATTATTGATACACATCTTTTTCACAAAATATTCATGTTTTTTTTTTTTTTTCTTTTTTTTTTTTTTTTGCAGTTCACTTGAAAAACAAAAGACTTGGGCATATTAACAAAATATCTAGTTTTTCACTAATAATCAGCAGGTGTATGTATGATTCAATTATTGAAGGAAAATAATCTCATAATCCTTTTCTTTCATTTGTGTATACTTACAATGACTAAACTCATCTTCAATCTAAAAAATAAAACAAAAACATTCTTTAGTAAGATGAACTAGAGGATCAGAGAGGCAATACTGCCTCCAGGTATTGTACCACCAGCTGGAGTAAGCACATGTATGGCAAACAAAAAAAGGGACACCACCTCCAGTTTTGTGTTTGACAAGTTCCATAAAATGTAGTAAACAACAGTTCTCAATTTTTTGTTGAAAACTACAATTTGTAACTGAATCATGGAGATAAGTTAAAGGTAAAATCCAAATTTGAAAAGTGCAGTTCATGGCCAAATGTAGGTCAAAGGTTAAATTCAAGGTCACAGAAAGACTCAATATATGAATTCAGCAGTATCTATGGGCATATCTGTGCCAGTTTTGGAGATATAAGGGACAGACAATTTGCAAAGTTCAGTTCATGGTGAAAAGTAGGTCAATGTTCAATTCCAAGGTCACATATTGCCAGTATGCGACTTCCTGTTCAAGTTCAATAGCAACTATGGGCGTATCTCTGAGATACCACGATTCCAGAATTAGAGAGAATTTTCAGTTTCAGCATCTAATGGCTGCTTTACCCAAATGCACAGATTTACCCAAAACTCATGAAGTTGAAAGATGACCCTAAGGGTAACAGGTGGATTGAGTTGAGATTATATGGGACCTAAATCCAAAAGATGGATATGCAAACTCTTGTAGTCTAGGAGGGAAGCGATAACGGTAACATGGTGGCAGAGACGGGTCAAGACTAAAACCATGTGTACCGCCAGCACCTACGCTGGTGGTACAATAATATATATATATATGTTAGAACTGGCAAAAAAAATAATTCAAATGGTTCCATTGTTTATTCCCCATGATCATTTCCCCCTAAGGGTTCCCCAGGGGCTACAATCACTGACAGACATTGATTTTAATCAGGGTATAAACAATGGAGGATGACGTTTGAATTAGTTTTCTTGTTTTATTATCAGCTCCTAAGCATACACTGGACTTTTACAACATTACTTAAGACATTGACTTTGCCAATGACATTAGCCTCCTTAATCACATAGGACAACATGTGCAGGAGAAAACTTAAAAGCTATGAGATGAATGAAGTGGGATTGGAGTTTGTGAGGGCGTGCATGGATGCATGGGTGGCAGACATGCTGAAAACTTTTCAGAATTGCCAGGCATTCGGACCAGTAGTGAGGAAAAATTTGCCGGACTAAAATGACTTTTGCCGGGACCAAAAATTTCCATTAAATATGGAGACGTTTCTTTTGCATAGTATTACACAGAAATAACTCTTGTAAATACATATTCTGTAATACCATCAATAATTTGGACATGTTGTATATTTTAAAAACAAAAACAGACACTTATGCAGCACTGCTTTAATGTTGTTCTCATTTCACAAGTTCTAGGGTTCATACAGGCCTTTAAGAGAGCCTGAATTTGCTTCTTCCTTTGAAAATCCTTGAATTTCACTCTTTGTCCTTTAATTCAATAGTACAGCGTGTATGGCTAAACTTTTCAAGACTTGCCATCTTGGCAAGTGTCTTACTGCTGGCTCTCGCAAATGCCTTTCAGCTATCGCCACTATTTCAGGTGCCATAAATACATGTATAATAGTATGTTTTAATGAAATATGGATCCGTGTCATAAAAACTGAGGTTAATTATAACTCTTATCATGCTCAATTTCTCAAAAACTTAAAGTTGAGTCATTTCAATTTGAAATAAATTTTCTAAAAAATTAAATGAAAAAAAAACAAAAACTCAGCAATATTTGCTGTTGATCAATTTTTTCTTTGCAAATTTTGATGCTACACAAATAGTACATACTAGATATTGTAGTCGGAATGGGAGTGCTAATGCATGAAACATGCTAGCCACTTCACAGTATCAGTCTCTTCTGCATGGAAGAAGGCTTTCTGGACCGACTGAGTACAATTTTTACCGGTCCAGAGAAATTTTGTAGGTCATGACCTATTGGACCGACAGTTTCAGCATGTCTCATGTTTGTTTATTTGTTTTCCATACTTACAGGCTGTCCATCTTGATCCTTTCCTGGTTGTCCTGAAATGATATCAAAAACATGAAATATTCATTAAACAAGAAAGGATACATATGCCAAAGATCCCTCTACTCCTATGTATTAATTCAGATCATCATATTCATCACTCTTAACTTGGACAAATAAAACATTTTATTCATCCAAACGCCAGAGTTGTTCTCATCAATGAGAACCTTAAAATGGCAAAAAATTCTCAAACCAACATATCAACCTCATCTGCCCACAGCTAGCATGCTGAAAACAACCTCAGTATAGAAGAGATGACAAGCCAAAGCAGAGAATAGGAGAATTTGAATGGATTCAAATGATCTCAGTTCTGCGTGTACTGAAATAAGACATAAAATACAGACAGACAAAAGTATCAGAGAAACTTGTGAAAATACAGGACAGACATTTCAAGTCATATTAATCAAAATGCAGGATCATCTCATGTAATCTAGACATTTTGCAAGCATAGATCTGTACAAAAGTGACAGGGACATGGAAGGCCTTTCTAATATTGTAATATTCACACATAAAATAAGTAATTTAAGTATAAGTACTGTAACGTAACTTACCGAGCCACCAAACACCACACACACCAAAACCACAAATAAATACAAGATTTAACGCAATAAACATGTTTGCTTTCTTCTCATCCTTTTTCTCTTTATGTTCACTGTTTTCCTGTCCTTTAAAATCCTGTTTATCTCCATTATTATCAATATCTACTTTTGTTTTCAAAAGGTCCCCAGTTAGTTGCCCACTCAGTTTCAATCCTTGTCCGTCTGGCTCCTTCGGCCCGTTTGAATAAAATCGCATATCACGATTACGGCGACAGAATTCACAACTCAATCGCCACTTAATCGAGTTATTTGTAGAAATATGAAATAAGCGTCCATTCTGATGCGGCTGAGAAATGTGCAGCACAGATAATTTCTGTACATTTCGTATCAAACACATGCTTCTGGAGGCTGCCATCTTGCTTGATTGCGGTAGATGAGAAAGATGGGTGTGACTCCGAAATTTTCTTAATGTATTACGTCACGAACAACCTGCTTGCACTTTAAAGTTATACTTTGCTATTTAAAAAAATGTTGTTATAAAAATTGATGGCCTAAATACTACACGAAAGAGGATTTAAAGTAGTCTCTGACGCTTTTCCTATTTTCCTAGAAGTAAGTTTCGACTTATCCATTCATTCAAAATGTTGTTAACGTTTTTCTAAACAATTTTGATCCACTATGAAAGCATTATTATAGTATGTACCATGTCTAGATTATCAAATGACAGTTTAGGTAATTTAATAGGTTTAGGTAATTCCTAAACATAGCAGAAACAATAAAATAAAATAATTTGCTTGATTTAGATATGAAATTAAAAAAAAAATCAGTTCTTCCCAACCCTTCTATTCGGTGTTCTCTTTTGGGGAGGGCTAGGGCAGCACTTTTTTATTTTAAAGAAAATAAGATAGATAAATAGGAAAAAGACGGGAATGTTCACGCTGCACATGGTGAGACGCATCAGTCATTTATCAAAGCGTTTCATTGCATCCATGTATTTATTTATTTATCTATGTATTTATTTATTTAAAATAACTCATTTATTTTATTTCTATTTTGTCTATTCATTCACTTTATCTTATTTACATTTTTCACCTTTTCTATTTCTCTATTGTCTATTTTGATCCGTTGTCTTCGAACCAGCATTTGTCTATTAAAATCTCGATGTGTACGTGTCATTATGCACATTATCCTAACTTAGTTAACTTTAACGTTTCTCTTTCTTATTCCAATATTTTTAATAGGAGAACTAATTTTTCATTTAAAAAATGCATTTGTTTATTTGATATCTCTTCTTCGTGAAAAATGCAGATAAATCTTACGCCAGTTGCAGCACGCACGAGTGCACACACGTTAGTTGGCTTGAGTGTGGAGTGGGACTGTCTTGCGTTAAGTACGCAAGCGCAGTCATATTAAGAGAACATCCGGTAAAGACCAGCGATCCAATGCGGAAGTTTTTATACAATTACTGCATTTACTAGTTTTGGTGTTGATCAGCTTGAAGGGTTTGACATCTTTTTAAAGCCGTAGCTTCCATTGATCGTCACTGGCCTCACTACTAGCGTACAGAGTAAAGAGATGATAACTGTGCTTACCTGAAGAATCGTTGAGTTTACTCAACATGGCTGCTTGTATTGCAGCTGATTCTGCTGTTTTTGTTGATTTTGTTTCGCGGAATTATGTCGAGTGAAGATCGCAGACTAACTTCAAGGTAAGATATTACAACTTAGGCATATACGTTTAAGTATGTAGCTTAACAGACCATGTAGAGAGGCAGAGGCTTGTCAAAATTGATGTCCTCATGTAATTACAAGAAAAAAAACGTTCAATATAAGCTGTCTAACTAATCTATTTTGTTATGCGTATTACCCAATTCAATTTTAACATATGTGATGTGCATGTTGTAACAAATTTTCTATATATAGTAACATATACACTCTATAACATTTGGTATGTGTTTTGTCAAAGGTGCCCGCACCGCCTTCTTTACAGCTTTACACCATTCTGTGCCATAAACTTTTCAGCTTATTGGCCAATCATTCTTAAAGTCTACTGGCCTGAATCAGGATGGAATAGTCTGAATAAAAATCCTATTAATACTGGACATTTTCTCCTATTGCATAAAAATTTGTATTAACAAGAAAAAATTAGATTGCTTCCTCTTGGTTCCAGTATAATCACCAGTTTTTCTGTATTCCACTCAGTTCGAGGAGGAGGTCTTTTAATATAATAATCAAATTTTATTCAGCAAGTTGGATCTACAAAGAATGATAAATTCATTGAGAATGAGCCTATAGAGAGTTGTTAGGCTAGCTTATTCCTGTTGACACCATCTGTCTACGTAGATCGCTCCAATTCTGAAGAGACTCTCACTGACTACTGTCAGCTTAACTAAATGTCATGCCTCTTATTGTTTCCAATGTACTTGTATAATCACCAACTTTTCTGTATTCTACTCAATGCCAGGAGTGCCATTCAGTTAAGCTGACTGCACTCAGTGAGAGTCCCCGCAGAGTTGGATCGGTCTATGTAGACTGATTGTGTCTATGGGAATGAGCCCAAAGAAGTGACATAAGACCACTTACATCTGGGACTTATCTGGTAGATAATTCTTGTTAATAGCGGATATAAGGTGTGTGGTAGTATAACGGCTAATCTGAGGTCCCATCACATCACATATAGACTGCTAAATAACAAATATAGTATGGTTAATTGGTAATCCATTTTTGTTTGGAGTGGGGTTTTCAAGAGAAATATATGAAAACAGTCTGTCAGGGTGAACAGACAAATCAGCCAGCAGATAAATCAAAATAAATTAATGTCTATCTGTAATAAATGAAGCTCTTTTAAGAAAATTATGTTAAATTGCATTACATTACATCTGTGAATATCTTCTATTTGAACAAGAAAACCTGCTTTAACCCTAAGCTATTTTAGCATGAATAAGGGTTCAAAATATGAATATGCCAGGGTAAATCTCGGAATACATTAACACAAATTTAATTGCTTTGAGTCATCATCTGTTTGGTATTATATAAATGTTAAAGTACACGCTTCTTGTTTTCAATTAGTGCAAGTAATCTGTACATATCTTAAAAAGAAATGTAATATATTAGTAAGAAATAAATGTTTCTATTTGAATTCAAGGGAGATCTATTATGTGCAATAAGTTTGCTGTGTTATGTTTTATGGTAGCTTTGTCAAGCAGTGAGATCTAAAATCCTTTATGAATTCACATGAAAACCACCCTACCCTGCAAATCTAACAGATATGGTGGGCATTAGGAACTGTTGCAAGAACTTGGATATTTTCTTCAATGTCCAGACAGCTATTGATTTATAGATATAATAAATATGTGAATTCTTACAGTCCATTATCTAATTTTTTGGTTAAATTATACATTTCAAAAAGCATGTCAGATTTTGTTTTGTTTTTACATGTAAACTTTTCAAAACATTAATTTGTGTCACTTTTGGATAAACTCTTTCCTAATTGTAATCACTGCTCTATTACCAAACAGTTATGAATGAATAAATACCTGTATTGTGGATTATTGGTCTAGTATGTAAATACTGTAAGTGGACAAATTGGTGCCTGGATTAAAAGTTTCTTTTCATCTTACTTAATGGGTCAACATTTAAGCATTAATTTATGAATGAATAAGTATTCCTCTGGTCTTGTTAAATGTGATATATTTTAGAAATGCATAAAAGATTTGCACTCAGGAAAAAAATCAACAAACCTTCAACTTAAACTCTCAAAAATGTCTGACTCTGTACAAATCTAAAGATGATTTCCTCCAAACAAAAGAAAGAGGGACCCTAATTGTTATTGTATGTGTGCATTCCTGTACATTTTAAGACTCACAGGATTAAAAAAAATTGTCATTTGATTTAAGCTGACTGAACTTTAACAGATATTTTTAGTTTTTTTTTTTTTTTGTGTGTGTGTGTGTGTGTGTGTGTGTCTGTCTGTCTGTGTGTGTGTGTGTGTGTGTGTGTGTGTGTGTGTGTGTGTGTGTGTGTGTGTGTGTGTGTGTGTGTGTGTGTGTGTGTGTGTGTGTGTGTGTGTGTGTGTGNTGCAGTTCACTTGAAAAACAAAAGACTTGGGCATATTAACAAAATATCTAGTTTTTCACTAATAATCAGCAGGTGTATGTATGATTCAATTATTGAAGGAAATTAATCTCATAATCCTTTTCTTTCATTTGTGTATACTTACAATGACTAAACTCATCTTCAATCTAAAAAATAAAACAAAAACATTCTTTAGTAAGATGAACTAGAGGATCAGAGAGGCAATACTGCCTCCAGGTATTGTACCACCAGCTGGAGTAAGCGCATTTGTATGGCAAACAAAAAAAGGGACACCACCTCCAGTGTTGTGCTTGACAAGTTCCACAAAATGTAGTAAACAACAGTTCTCAATTTTTCGTCGAAAACTACAATTTGTAACTGAATCATGGAGATAAGTTAAAGGTAAAATCCAAATTTGAAAAGTGCAGTTCATGGCCAAATGTAGGTCAAGGTCAAATTCAAGGTCACAGAAAGACTCAATATATGAATTCAGCAGTATCTATGGGCATATCTGTGCCAGTTTTGGAGATATAAGGGACAGACAATTTGCAAAGTTCAGTTCATGGCGAAAAGTAGGCCAATGTTCAATTCCAAGGTCACATATTGCCAGTATGTGACTTCCTGTTCAAGTTCAATAGCAACTATGAGCGTATCTCTGGCAGTTTTGGAGATACCACAATTCCAGAATTAGAGAGAATTTTCAGTTTCAGCATCTAATGGCTGCTTCTCCCATGAAAATGCACAGAATTACCCCAAACTCACGAAGATGAAAGATGACCCTAAGGGTAACAGGTGGATTGAGTTGAGATTATATGGGACCTAAATCCAAAAGATGGATACGCAAACTCTAGGATGAGAAGCGATAACGGTTACATGACGGCAGAGACGGATCAAGACTAAAACCATGTGTACTACCAGCACCTACGCTGGTGGTACAATAATATATATATATATATGTGTTAAAACTGACAAAAAATAATTCAAATGGTTCCATTGTTTATTCCCCATGATCATTTCCTCCTAAGGGTTCCTCAGGGGCTACAATCACTGACAGAAATTGATTTTAATCAGGGTATAAACAATGGAGGATGAAGTTTGAATTAGTTTTCTTGTTTTATTATCAGCTCCTAAGCATACACTGGACTTTTGCAACATTACTAGAAGACATTGACTTTGCCAATGACATTAGCCTCCTTAATCACATAGGACAACATGTGCAGGAGAAAACTGAAAAGCTATGAGATGAATGTAGTGGGATTGGAGTGTGTGAGGGCGTGCATGTATGCTTGGGTGGCAGACATGCTAAAAACTTTTCAGAACTGCCAGGCATTCGGACTGGTAGTGGTGAAAATTTTGCTGGACTAAAAATGACTTTTGCCAGGACCAAAAATTTCCATTAAATATGGAGACATTTCATTTGCATAGCATTACACAGAAGTAATACTATCAATAATTTGGACATGTTGTATATTTTAAAAAGAAAAACAGACACTTATGCAGCACTGCTTTAATGTTGTTCTCATTTCACAAGTTCTAGGGTTCATACAGGCCTTTAAGAGAGCCTGAATTTGCTTCTTCCTTTGAAAGTCCTTGAATTTCACTCTTTGTCCTTTAATTCAATAGTACAGCGTGTATGGCTAAACTTTTTAGGACTTGCCATCTTGGCAAGTGTCTTACTGCTGGCTCTCACAAATGCCTTTCTGCTATCGCCACTATTTCAGGTGCCATAAACACATGTATTATAGTATGTTTTAATGAAATATAGATCAGTGTCATAAAAATTGAGGTTAATTATAACTCTTATCATGCTCAATTTCTCAAAAACTTGAGTCATTTCAATTTGAAATAAATTTTCTAAAAAATTAAATGAAAAAAAAAAAAACTCAGCAATATTTGCTGTTGATCAATTTTTCCTTTGCAAATTTTGATGTGGGTCTTATATAATTTTATTTTTGAAGTACATCAAACAATGACTGTGAATTCAAAATGGTGGCTCTTAAAACTCTTGTTGGTCCTTTGGACCAACTGAGTACAATTTTTACCGATCCAGAGAAATTTTGCAGGTCATGACCTATTGGACCGACAGTTTCAGCATGTCTCATGTTTGTTTATTTGTTTTCCATACTTACAGGCTGTCCATCTTGATCCTTTCCTGGTTGTCCTGAAATGATATCAAAAACATGAAACATTCATTAAACAAGAAAGGATACATATGCCATAGATCCCTCTACTCCTATATATTAATTCAGATCATCATATTCATCACTCTTAACTTGGACAAATAAAACATTTTATTCATCCAAATGCCAGAGTTGTTCTCATCAACGAGAACCTAAAAATGGCAAAAAATTCTCAAACCAACATATCAACCTCATCTGCCCACAGCTAGCATGCTGAAAACAACCTCAGTATAAAAGAGATGACAAGCCAAAGCAGAGAATAGGAGAATTTGAATAGATTCAAATGATCTCAGTTCTGTGTGTACTGAAATAAGACAAATAAAATACAGACAGACAAAAGTATCAGAGAAACTTGTGAAAATACAGGACAGACATTTCAAGTCATAATCAAAATGCAGGATCATCTCATGTAATCTAGACATTTTGCAAGCACAGATCTGTACAAAAGTGACAGGGACATGGAAGGCCTTTCTAATATTGTAATATTCACACATAAATAAGTAATTTAAGTATAAGTAACGTAACTTACCGAGCCACCAAACACCAACCACACCAAAACCACAAATAAATACAAGATTTAACGCAATAAACATGTTTTTTTTCTTCTCATCCTTTTTCTCTTTATGTTCACTGTTTTCCTGTCCTTTAAAATCCTGTTTATCTTCATTATTATCAATATCTACTTTTGTTTTCAAAAGGTCCCCAGTTAGTTGCCCACTCAGTTTCAATCCTTGTCCGTCTGGCTCCTTCGGCCCGTTTGAATAAAATCGCATATCACGATTACGGCGACAGAATTCACAACTCAATCGCCACCTAATCGAGTTATTTGTAGAAATATGAAATAAGCGCCCATTCTGATGCGGCTGAGATATGTGCAGCATAGATAATTTCTGTACATTTCGTATCAAACACATGCTTCTGGAGGCTGCCATCTTGCTTGATTGCGGTAGATGAGAAAGATGGGTGTGACTCCGAAATTTTCTTAATGTATTACGTCACGAACAACCTGCTTGCACTTTAAAGTTATACTTTGCTATTTAAAAAAATGTTGTTCGAAAAATTGATGGCCTAAATACTACACGAAAGAGGATTTAAAGTAGTCTCTGACGCTTTTCCTATTTTCCTAGAAGTAAGTTTCGACTTATCCATTCATTCAAAATGTTGTAAACGTTTTTCTAAACAATTTTCATCCACTGTACCATGTCTCTACTATGAAAGCATTATTATATTATGTACCATGTCTAGATTATCAAATGACAGTTTAGGTAATTTAATTATCCTAAACATAGCAGAAACAATAAAATGATTTGCTTGATTTAGATATGAAATTTTTCAAAAAAAAAAAAAAAAAAAAAAAAAAAACTCAGTTCTTCCCAACCCTTCTATTCGGTGTTCTCTTTTGGAGAGGGCTAGGACAGCACTTTTTTATTTTAAAGAAAATAAGATAGATAAATAGGAAAAAGACGAGAATGTTCACGCTGCACATGGTGAGACGCATCAGTCATTTATCAAGGCGTTTCATTGCATCCATGTATTTATTTATTTAAAATAACTCATTTATTTTATTTCTATTTTGTCTATCCATTCACTTTATTTTATTTCCATTTTTCACCTTTTTTTTTTATTTCTCTATTGTCTATTTTTTGGTTACATGGATTCGTTGTCTTCGAACCAGCATTTGTCTATTAAAATCTCGATGCGTGACAAAAAATAAAATGTACGTGTCATTAGGCACATTATCCTAACTTACATAACTGTAACGTTTCTCTTTCTTATTCCAATATTTTTAATAGTAGAACTAATTTTTCATTTAAAAAAAAATGCATTTGTTTATTTGATATCTTTTCGTGAAACATGCAGATAAATCTTACGCCAGTTGCAGCACGCACGAGTGCACACACGTTAGTTGGCTTGAGTGTGGAGTGGGACTGTCTTGCGTTAAGTACGCAAGCGCAGTCATATTAAGAGAACATCCGGTAAAGACCAGCGATCCAATGCGGAAGTTTTTATACAATTACTGCATTTACTAGTTTTGGTGTTGATCAGCTTGAAGGGTTTGACATCTTTCTAAAGCCGTAGCTTCCATTGATCGTCACTGGCCTCACTACTAGCGTACAGAGTAAAGAGATGATAACTGTGCTTACCTGAAGAATCGTTGAGTTTACTCAACATGGCTGCTTGTATTGCAGCTGATTCTGCTGTTTTTGTTGATTTTGTTTCGCGGAATTATGTCGAGTGAAGATCGCAGACTAACTTCAAGGTAAGATATTACAACTTAGGCATATACGTTTAAGTATGTAGCTTAAAAGACTATGTAGAGAGGCAGAGGCTTGTCAAAATTGATGTCCTCGTGTAATAACAAGAAAAAAAAGCGTTTAATATAAGCTGTCTAACTAATCTATTTTGTTTTGCGTATTACCCAATTCAATTTTAACATATGTGATGTGCATGTTGTAACAAATTTTCTATATAGTAACAGATATACACTCTATAACATTTGGTATGTGTTTTGTCAAAGGTGCCAGCACAGCCTTCTTTACAGCTTTACACCATTCTGTGCCATAAACTTTTCAGCTTATTGGCCAATCATTCTTAAAGTCTACTGGCCTGAATCAGGATGGACTAGTCTGAATAAAAATCTTAATAATACTGGACATTTTCTCCTATTGCATAAAAATTTGTATTAACAAGAAAAAATTAGATTGCTTCCTCTTGTTTCCAGTATAATCACCAGTTTTTCTGTATTCCACTCAATTCGTAGAGGAGGTCTTTTAATATAATAATCAAATTTTATTCAGCGAGTTGGATCTACAAAGAATGATAAATTCATTGGGAATGAGCCTATAGAGAGTTGTTAGGCTAGCTTATTCCTGTTGACACCATCTGTCTACGTAGATCGATCCAACTCTGAAGAGACTCTCACTGACTACTGTCAGCTTAACTAAATGTCATGCTTCTTATTGTTTCCAATGTAATTGTATAATCACCAACTTTTCTGTATTCTACTGAATGCCAGGAGTGCCATTCAGTTAAGCTGACTGCACTCAGTGAGAGTCCCCGCAGTGTTGGATCTATCTATGTAGACTGATAGTGTCTATGGGATTGAGCCCAAAGAAGTGACATAAGACCACTTACATCTGGGACTTATCTGGTAGATAATTCTTGTTAATAGCAGATATAAGGTGTGTGGTAGTATAACGGCTAATCTGAGGTCCCATCACATCACATATAGACTGCTAAATAACAAATATAGTATGGTTAATTGGTAATCCATTTTTGTTTGGAGTGGGGTTTTCAAGAGAAATATATGAAAATAGTCTGTTAGGGTGAACAGACAAATCAGCCAGCAGATAAATTGAAATAAATTAATGTCTATCTGTAATAAATGAAGCTCTTTTAAGAAAATTATGTTAAATTGCATTACATTACATCTGAGAATATCCTCTATTTGAACAAGAAAACCTGCTTTAACCCTAAGCTATTTTAGCATGAATAAGGGTTCAAAATATGAATATGCCAGGGTAAATCTCGGAATACATTAACACAAATTTAATTGCTTTGAGTCATCATCTGCTTGGTATTATATGAATGTTAAAGTACACGCTTCTTGTTTTCAATTAGTGCAAGTAATCTGCACATATCTTAAAAAGAAATGTAATATTAGTAAGAAGTAAATGTTTCTATTTGAATTCAAGGGAGATCTATTATGTGCAATAAGTTTGCTGTGTTATGTTTTATGGTAGCTTTGTCAAGCAGTGAGATTCTAAAATCCTTTACGAATTCACATGAAAACCACCCTACCCTGCAAATCTAACAGATATGGTGGGCATTAGGAACTGTTGCAAGAACTTGGATATTTTATTCAATGTCCAGACAGCTATTGATTTATAGATATAATAAATATGTGAATTCTTACAGTCTATTATCTTATTTTTTGGTTAGATTATAAATTTCAAAAAGCATGTCAGATTTTGTTTTGTTTTTACATATAAACTTTTCAAAACATTAATTTTTGTCACTTTTGGATAAACTCCTTCTTAATTGTAATCACTGCTCTATTACCAAACAGTTATGAATGAATAAATACCTGTATTTTGGATTATTGGTCTAGTATGTAAATACTGTAAGTGGACAAATTGGTGCCTGGATTAAAAGTTTCTTTTCATCTTACTTAATGGGTCAACATTTAAGCATTAATTTATGAATGAACAAGTATTCCTCTGGTCTTGTTAAATGTGATATATTTTAGAAATGCATAAAAGATTTGCACTCAGGAAAAAAATCAACATACCTTCAACTTAAACTCTCAAAAATGTCTGACTCTGTACAAATCTAAAGATGATTTCCTCCAAACAAAAGAAAGAGGGACCCTAATTGTTATTGTATGTGTGCATTCATGTACATTTTAAGACTCACAGGATTAAAAAAAAATTGTCATTTGATTAAAGCTAACTGAACTTTAACAGATATTTTTTGGTTTTTTTGTCTATGTGTGTGTGTGTGTGTGTGTGTGTGTGTGTGTGTGTGTGTGTGTGTGTGTGTGTGTGTGTGTGTGTGTGTGTGTGTGTGTGTGTGGAAATGGTGGTCCTGGAGCAGGTGTGTCTAGAACTAGGTCAAAGACATCCAGGGTATCCCTCTGTTTCATCTTGTGTAATAAATATATATTGCATCACACATAATAATCAAGGTTAAGCAGTATTTATATATGCTCTGGGTTTCTTGGTTAGTCATTATCCAGGGCCCTTTTTCAGCAATTGGTAAAACAATTCCAAACTAATCATAACATATCATGTCGGTAGTTAATAAAAAGAAACACAATAGAAAAGGATGGAATACCCTTCATCTCAGAGAGCAGACCAATGCACTCTCTGGCCTTATGGACATTCTTTTATGCCTTTTGCTTATGGACACTTAGGCTCCATTCAGAATAGATGATCCAAGTACTAACTGATCCGCTGACTGAATATGGTCGATCGCACTTCGAAAGAGATGCTGCTGATTCTCAATGGTCTCCCCGCCTCCACACGCTAGTGCTTCAGAGGTCTAGCAATTATAGCTCATAGCCAAGATTTAATCCGTTTAATGGCACATGTAGAAGCGAGGAGACCATCAAGAAGCAGCGGCATCTCTTTTGAAGTGTGGTCGGCCATATTTAGTCAGCAGTTGGTTAGTACTCGGATCATTTATTCGGAATGGGCCTTACAGCAGGTTTAGATGGAAGAATCCAGGCCATGGCTCAGACAAGGTGCTTTGAACAGAAAGCCTTTTGACACCATCTTTTTGCAGAGACCTCATCTCCAATGAGGAGGTACAAAAATTGACAAATTTATATAGGGCCTTATAAAGCCCTACTGGCTGTAGCAAGATGAGGTGGTACAGGCACGCTACAATGTCTTTAGGGCTTACCAGGACAGTCCTTTGGGTTTGGTATGAATAGCAAGGAAGAGAAGTTGACAGAAAAAAAAGATGGGAAAACAACATTCCGGAGTGGACAGCCATGAAGCTGTGTGCAGCCATTAGGCAGCTGAGAGAAGAGAGGGATGGAAGAAGCAGGTCATCTGTGGTGGCCCCAGCAGTCCAACAGACAATGGAGTGGATCCACATCCTAGTTAATAAGAACATATATATAGAAATTGTCCACTATCATGTTTGAACAATTAGTATCTATGTATGATGGGAATTTTGAGACACTGATATGATATGATAAGATTCAGTTGTACAAAACACTTCTTTTCTTCATTAGTCATTTTTTCTTCCATAGTCCCTGGATTCAAAGAAAATTATAATTTTTTCTCTGTTTAAGAATCAAGAGTCAAATACAAAAAAAAAATCATGGCAAAATATATGGTCTGAGAATGAGTTTAATTTGCTGACATCTGTAGATGACCGTGCTTCCTTATCTTCTGAAATGACTGACATTGCAACAGATTATATTATTGAGAGTAATCAATTTATGATGGTTGTCTATTAATTGATGAGTAGTCTAGATAATGTACCACAGCTATATCTGGGTACATCTTACCTTAGCAATTTTAGCCAAAAGGTAAACATTTTCATTTTTGGCCAAGGGAAGACAAAATATTTTGCTATTTTAAGCCAAGTTTAACATTGAATTAGTTCTAAAATTTAATTGAATCGAAAGAAATTTTAACCTTGAGTGAGCCAAGTAAAGTATAGAATGGCGTGTTCAGACAGAATGACCTGGATCAGTTTAGGTCATAAAACACCACCAGACAGACAATTCTGAACGTGCAAATAATTTTCTAGTTCAGACCCAGTGGAATCTCTTTTATCCCCTCAACATACAGCAGCACTCTGCTTGATTAAGTATTATAACGTCTGCTTAATTAGTAGTCAATTAGGAGCTGCTGCTGGCTTTTACTTCTTTTAATTATTAAATTGCTGGCAAAGTACTCTTGTCCCCATCTTTAAATTCACCTTATGTGAACAGACTCTCTTTTTCCTTCTTGCACCTAGGGAATGCATTGTTAGTAAACATAAATCTTTCCAGACTTAAAGAATGAAGTAAAGCACAAATTCTTGGCATCAGCGCTGTGGATTCCTTACTTTTACGGTGGCACATTCCATAGAAAATGTTTATTTTTATACCATAAACCTGGTCTATGTAAATCACCTTCTTAAAATACCTAGTTGCACATTCTTTCCTAAAATTTCTCTAAAGAATGTTTCAAGTCCTCAGTGTACACTACCTCACCATGTTTTGAGAACATAAAGTAGTTATAGATATTTTTGTGCTTGGTTTCTTTTTTTAGAAAAAAAAATTCTGTCAGGAAGGGGACTATTTGTGCATATTTTATTAAAATAATGATGCACACCTAGATGAAATAGGGCTTTAGCTTTTCACCATCTGGTGGCAGTGGTGTCATTTATTGATACATGGTATTTGCTATTAGTGATCACTCACTTTTTCTTTTTCTGAATCTTTTCAGTTGTCAACTTCAGAATGAGTATACTGTCTCCTATAGCTGTTAGTGGTAGTGAGCAGAGTATCTATAACTTTGAATCAGAGGATAATTCTGCAAAATGGAAGAGCCTTTTGGTGGCAGCACTACAGAAGGTAAAACAATATCCTTGTTTTTGTTTTGCTTTGTTTTTTGTTTTATCTCATTAGTATAAGAAATATGTGGATAGCTCACAGTTTGAATTCTTATTTTACTGTGAAAAGAAACCACAGTTCGAGAAAATTGACTTATGTAAGTTTCTAGGTCATAATTATCAACAGATTCTACTGTCATTATGATTTGTGTCTGTTGTTATAGATATTTAGACAAATTCATATGGATGAATTAGTTAATGTGGATAAGATCTTGTTGCTGACAGCCTTCAAACATTCAAAATTTTCAGATAGTCACACTCATATACCTTAAATGTATTATATTAATTGAGAAACTGATTTGTTTCTTGTCTTTTGTTAGGTGCAGCATCAAGTGCACCCTTCTCTAAGCTGCCGAGAGGATGCTTTGGAATATATCGAAACATTGATTTTCCAACTCCTTGGCATGCTCTGTTCCTGCCAGCCGCATAACGTACAAGAAGTGGAGGATCGTGTGCAGAAGACGTTCCCTCATCCAATTGATAAATGGGCCGTCAGCGATGCACAAAATGCGCTGGAAAAGGGGAAGAAGAAGTCCCCGTTGGTTTTACCTGTCGATAAAATTCACCCGTTGCTTATCAGGGTAAGGAAGTGAGACAGCTTGAATGTTGCTAAGTTTTTCAGATATTTATAACATTGTTTTAAAGACAGGTGTAGCAGTTTTCAAGGCCTGTCATACATGCTTTGCTGGCCATGTTTGCAGCATTACAACTGAGAACAAAAATAAGGTGGCTGTATCAAGCATGGCAAGAGAGTTAGTGAAGAAAGATAGTTTAGTGTGAAAAAGTTGCCATAAAAATAGTTGGATTGTGTTGTAAAGGATAGTACAAGATAAAACCCCTACAAGTGTTTGAATGTACTAGTAGTTTTTTCTATAGCAGGAAGTGAGCAGGTGCCATATTAAAAGTTTGTCTAAGAAAATCTTATGCATCTGAAAATTAACTTTGGATCAAAAATTAGGGGAAAAAAGGCTAAACACAAAATAAACTTCATAGCACCATATGAATTTAAGAAGCATGGTATTTAATTAGTGCCTTTGGAAAATTGATCACCCCCTCAATGCCTAAAATTCACTATTAGCTGCAGAGACCTGTCATATGCTCTACTACATATGTGGTATATCACTATAAGCTACCAGGGAAAAATGATCTTGACCTGGGGGGAGACCTGCTCACGTAAAACTGATGAATGGTTTTCTGATATCTTTTTGAAGGGGAAAATTCTGTGTAAAAATCCAAATATGTGAAAGTGTCTGAGGCCTTAATGTCTGGAGCAAATTTTTTGTTGAAGTATGTTTTCATCCAACATTGAAATAACTTTGCAAAAGAATCTCTTTTATTCATTATTTAAGAATTTTAATGATTATAAAAAAAAGAATATGTTTAAAAAATGTCTGAAATGATTTTGCTGATTGAACACCTTCCATACCCCCCCAATAATTGTCCCTCCTTCTGCCGATATATTTCTCAGTAATTTTACATTGCTAGAAAAAATAATAGCAACACTAAACTTTAACCAGGTGGACCCTCTGTAAGGTATCTATGCACCCATAGAATAGATGATGCCGAAGTATTGTTGGAACTCTGGATTTACCGGAGTTTCTTTCATTTAGTTTTATTCTCAGTTTTCTCTGTCTACTGCCACCACATTATCACCAAATATAGTTTGATACATGAACACACTGTAACCGCATCCTGCTTTTCTGAGTCTTCTTGGTTTCCAGCTAGTATTTCTTGTTTTAAAGGTCATTCAAAGCATTTCATTCTGTTCGATTCATTTTTAACGGCCACAATCCCTTTTTTTAATCTTTGATATTTATACAGGATTTTGAAATTATATCTTGCTTTCATTATTCCTTTTTAAATCAAACAAAAATTGGCTTGGTATGTTTCAATTTGAATAATGATTCAACTTGATTTGGATTAATGAGGTTACAAAATGGTCTGGTAACAAAATTTAAAAAATCATTAATCCTATGCTTTTTAACTGATTTTCATCATGGATGTCTTTTTGTATCAAATGACATATTTAAAACTTCTAAAGGCTTTTTAAAAGAGCAGGACATAAAAGTTATAACTGGTTTGACATAACACATAACAAGCACATAAACAAATGCATAAAAGATAGGATTATTTTACTGCTTGAGGGAAAATCTTATTTATAAAGATGCTACCATAACAGGTGTGATGTACTTTTTTTTCACTTTTGACATTTAAACCAGCATCTACAGTTCCTTTTTATACAGTACACAGGTCATGGCTACATATTTGTTTTTGTACTTGTTGTGTTGAATTGGACAATCAATGAGGGAAATTCAATTTGAACCATATTAAGGGAATTTAGACGCGAGGAAATTGACTTCCTCATATATTTATTGGATGCAAAAACTGAAAAACAAATTACTCACTTGAGGATGGGAGTGTTTATGGGCAGTTTCTTTTTGTATGAACTGATTCATGGATGATGTCTTTTTTAGTTCTTTAAATAATTTTAAGTCTACAAGTTTTCAGGCAAAAGAAAGCCAGCTAGAACAGACACACGAAAATCAAGTGCTTTATTTAATAACACAAAATAGATATAGCTTTTATAGGATTATATACTTGTTAGATGAAGCCATAATTATTTTTTTGTTTTAATCCTATACTATTAGTGATATTTAAATAGAACTTATTCTTTTTCTTAGCTTGTATTTTACTTATGTTTAACAAAGACATGTGCAATCTTAGTATAGGATTTACTCCCATATGATATTTTTGTTAAAATCATCACACAGTTACAGTTTTATTTCAGTTTCAGTTTTGTTTGGTCTTTTTGACTAATTTGATAAACCATAGTTTAATTGGAGAGGCCATTAATGTTATTGGACACCCTAAAGCATGAGAGTTAGATTTTCTGATATTTTTTCTGGCAAAAGATACAAGTTAATTCAGTGAACACCCTGTTTCAATCATGTCTCATGATCATGTTTTATGACTAAAAATGTGCTGGACTGGGATAAAAACTAGAAGTCCCATGATCAAACATTTCTTCGGTCTTTTTTTTTTTTCAACCCATTGTACTGGTGTATCAGGAAGGTTTTTTTTCCATTTAATTAGTATAATTAATATTCTGAATTGTTTATCATTACCAGGAGGTGTTGGGATACAAGGTGGATTTCCAAGTGTCTTTGTATGTTGTGGCAGTCCTGGAGTACATTGCTGCTGACATACTGAAGGTAAATTCTTTTTTGTGTCCTTTGATTCAAATAATTTAAAAGTATTGTTATTCATGCATGACTAGATTGTAATTTGGTATTTTGGATTTATTTTTTAGTCTTTTATTGACAGCCATAGTCTGGCCAATATAGTGATCATTTTTGTCATCACTGGAAATGGTGCTGTCATTGTGCACTATTTGCACTGTATCCATGATAAATGGGAAACTGCATCTTGTATTTTTCTGAATATTTCAAGAATGGTTAACAGATACTTGTTTCATCTCAGTTACAATAGTTTTTGTTTTTATAGTATGCAGGATGAGGCTCTTATTTGATATTTTTCATGTTTTTATTATTAGTATCATTATCAGTTTTGATTTTTGTATGGCTGTCCATTTGACAGCTTTGCTGCCATGTTATTTTTGTTGAAAGTAAATACAATTATTGTATTGGATAAAGCAGTCTAGGCAAAAATGCAATCAGCAACAAAGAAAGAGAAAATTATTTCAAGAAAGACCAGATGTGAATTTTTTCTTTATAAATGATCTTGGTTATTACAGCTGGTAAGTGATTAGGTAAAGAAACTGAAGCATCAAAAGGTCAGGTATGACATAAAAAGATTAAAATGATCTGATGATTTTTGAAAATAACCAAATGTTGAAAACTTTTTCTTAATGTATGACTTTTATTTTTTCAGCTGGCGGGCAATTATGTTAAAAATATCAAGCATCAGGAGATCACATGCCAGGACATTAAGGTGGCCATGTGTGCAGACAAGGTCAGTGTGCCCCTCCCTTGCTCGCGCGCACGCACGCACGCACAGACACACACGCACACAGAATGCTTATCATACACTCGCACACACTGAAGTGCCTGCATGCAAAAATCCACTTAAAATATGCCTTTTGGTAAATATCTTTTGGTAAATTTTTTATTGAAACCTGTAACAATCAACTGTTCTAGTTATATTTATTGGTTTAGGTTTTATTGTTAAAGTATAATGTGATTTTACCCATGTAGGTGCTGATGGACATGTTCTTTCAAGATGATGAGGTGTCTCTAACAGTAGAAGAGGAGCCAGTAAGACGGGATTCCCTCACATATGAAGAAATTGTCAAAGATTTGGTGCTAGAAGAAACCCAATACTTAAGGGAGTTGGACATGATAATCAAAGTGTTTAGAGCACCCTTTGCAAACCTGTTTCCCAAGAGCAAGGTGAGTAGTTCATAAATCCCTTTTTAGTTTTGTAATTGTCTGTGCTTCTAAGAAAGTTGAGTCTTTATCTACCTAGACAGTAAATTACTATAAGTTATTTGTTAGTGTTTTTGTCGTTATTTATGTTTTCAAATTATATTGTACCAAAAGTTGAAAGTATTGAATTATCTTAATTTGTGACGCAATCCATCATGAATGATGGAACTGAGAAATTTTTTTCCTACATTCTTTTCATTTTTTTACAGGATCTTGAGGTGATATTCAGCAATGTTCTAGATATTCGCAACTTGACATCCAAGTTGTTGAGCTCCCTGGAGGACACAGTGGAGATGACAGATGAAAACACACCTCCGCTTATAGGTGGATGTTTTGAAGAAATTGCTGAAGTAAGTTTATTAATTGATAAATTTATTTATTTATTCATTTATGAAGAAATTTTTGCACAGACAGATATGAATCCTAATTCAAATTGTATGAATTAGTTTAAGTATTTTAATAGAATATCAGCCAAAGTATTTGAATGCATAGTAAATGATGAGCAGTCTGCTCAAAGTGAGGATATGACAGTATGTATACTGAAGTGTTTTTACAACATTACACAAAATTTTAGAAAAGAAAATACTGACTCCAAATTAGATAAAAGTTTAAAATGGAAATTACCATTATTTTTCAGTTGATTAGTATTCTGTCAATATTATCCATTATAGTTAAATATAAATCGTTACCAAAGAGACTAAACTTGTTTCCTGCCAGTCATGTATGATTTTTTAACCCTTTTTTAAAGGGTCTTGACCACATATCTGACTCAGCTTATTGCACAAGAGGCATTGAAAAACCTATTTAATGCCATTATTATTATTATTATTATTATTATTATTATTTGATTGTTTTAGGGTGCTGAATTTGAAGTGTATGGAAAGTACACAGAAGACATGATGAAGCCCCATGCTAGGGACAGATTGAATACTTTGTTACAAAGAAAAGATGTTAGCCTTACATTTCAGGTACGCATGAAATCATTTAATACTGCCTTCAATTGGTACAATCAGTTGTTTGTGTAAAATTTGTGAGTGTATTTTTGATGTCATATATTATATTTTCAAATTTGCCACACAATAGAGTAGATGATTTAAGTTTTATCACTGTTTACTTGAAGGCATTTTTCAAAGATCATACACTGGTCATCAAATATGCAAATTTCCATGTGCCCTTGTCTTAACAAGTATTCACAAGTACTCTGCTATACATGTACATTTTATCTTTAATTTCCAGACTGCTGGCCAGGGATTTGTTGAGGCTGTGAAATATGTGCTGCCCAAGCTGCTGCTGGGTCCTATTTATCATTTTCTACATTATTTTGAGTCTATAAAGGTAAGGATGATTTAAATGAGTACTGACTGAGGTGTCTTTATCTTTTTATTTATTGCTGGAGAAAGTCGCACACCGTTGTATTACATGGCTACTTAGCAATGGAAAAGAATAAGATGGTCCGTTGCCACGGGATGTAACATTAAAATGCACAAAGAAAGTTGCAAAAAAGTAAAAGCTGTTGATTAAAACTTCAGTTTTAACATGCACTGAATTATTTTCACTATTATATAGGCACTGAAGGATGCTAGTATAGATGAAGAGGACAAACAGAGTCTAGAGGAAGCAGAAAGTATGCTGTTACCTCTAAAAACCGAAGTTGAGAAAAAATCTGCAGGACTGTTGGCAAAGAGAAAACCAGGGTAAGTCTTTATATAAAGGAGATGTGAGAAAAGATTGAGTTTATTTTAAGGAGATGTGAGAAAAGATTGAGTAGTTTATCTTATTATGCTACTTGTTTATCTGAAGTCAAATGTGTCACCTGTAAGAATATTTTTAGTTAAGCACAATTTGTCAGCGTTCTTATTTATGGGAGCACTTTGCATCTTAATTCAAAAGTACAGAATACCTTTAATATCAGGCTCACAGGTTGTTTACAGATTTAAAGGTCGAGAGCAGAAAATCTGAGAGGTCTATTATTATATTTCAGGGAGTCAACTTTTCGCCTTCATGGCCAATTAGGCAGACAAGCAACCCTTCACAAAATCAATGAGTTACAGAAACAGATAGATGGTTGGGAGGGAAAGGCCATAAGACAGAGCTGTAATGAGTTTGTCATGGGTAAGAATGGTGTTGTTAATTGTACCACCAGCGTAGGCGCTGGCGGTACACATGGTTTTAGTCCCGACCCGTATGTTCCGCCGGCTCCGCCGGCTCCTGCGGCTCCGCCGGCTCCGCCGNACCATGGTAGCATATTTATGTTTGTTTTTTTAATATTTATTGTGCCAATTTGTAAAAAAAACTTGCATTCCAGTGCATTGGACATAAGCCATCTTCTTTTCAACAAAAAGACTAAAACATCCAAGTACATATATTTTCTTTCATTTTTCTTTTAAATTAGAAGTACTAAAGGTCTTAAAATTTGACAAACATTTAACATGCCAGCTGGAGCTTAAGGTTTTTAAGATAAAATAGTTTATGTTAGAAGTTGGAAAACAAAAGCAGAATGCATATGTTCTTTACAGTAAGTGATTTTTTATTGGAAATCGCAGTCTCATTGTATAATGTGAAATATCATGTAACTTCAACTTTAAACTAGAAGAATACCTTGATATACCATCATGTGACTTGAACACACCACAGGATCTTTTTGGTAGTGTGTCATGCAATATCTGTGAATTTCTTCTTCAGAGGGGGTGCTACTCAAGCAAACAGGCAGGAACCTACGAGAGCGCCAGGCGTTCCTCTTTGATGGTCTCATTATCTTGTGTAAACAAAACCTCCGTAGATCTTCAGTCACCATAGGTCCTGCAGTGGAGTTTAGGCTGAAAGAGAAGTTCTATATGAGGAAGGTGGATGTGATCGACCATGAGGATGCTGAAGGTAGTGGCGTGGGATGTTTTTATCTGGGCATTTTTTATGTCATGGGTACATAGTGACCAAATTGATTACTGAATATCCAGAAAGTGACATTTGATTACCAGTTTTAAGACACAAGTTAAGTTATGACAAGATAGCACAAAAATCGGTGTTTATTTATTTATTTATTTATTTATTTATTTATTTATTTATTTATTTATTTGTTATTTATTTACTTATTTATCAAATCAGTTGTCATCAGTTTGTACAAAATTTTTCGTCTATGACTTATGAAACTCCTCAAAGTTCTTTGGAATTTGCTTGAAAAGCAGCCTTAAGGTTTCATCAAAACGAAAACTGTCATTTCAGATTTGAAGAACGCATTTGAGCTCCAGGTGCGTGATCATCCCAGTGTCACACTAGTTGCCAAAACTTATGAAGAGAAATGTAACTGGATGGCAGCTCTAATAGCACTGCATACCAGAAGGTAGGATATACATATATCATACAGCTGTAGACTAGGTTAGAGGGAACGAGCAATTCTTTTGTCCCCATATGACTAACTATTTATTGGGACCGATAATTTTCCTATAACCCCAAAACTATAGCAAAGTCGGGACAAAAGCAAGATTTATTTGTTCAAAAATTTCTACATGGATTAATCAGTCAATGTATATATGATTATGTACAGTTAGACACACATAGGCGCACAAATCTTGCATTCCTGTATTGGCCATACGCCATTGATATTTGACAGCTTGTCTGTGTTTAAGAAAATCTGCCCCACCCTGTGATACTTATGAAAGAGGCATGTACTTTAAAGGTGTAATGTGCTCGGTATGATTAATGTATTTATTTGAAGATGAGTCCCAAAGCACCAGCTGTTTGTTTCACATTTGGTTTTTCATTCCCTATTTTTGCAAGTCTTTCGTCCATATTGTGACCATTTGGTAGTGTTGTTCTGTTTTTTTGTGTGTATGGGAATATTTTGTATTGACGTGTCATATTTTCTTGATTTTCAGTATGTTAGACAGAAAGTTGGACAGTATTTTAGTTGAAGAAGAAAAGAATGCTCCTCTCAGACTGCCATCAAAGGAAGAATACAGGTGGGCTTATTTTATTTATGAAATAGTGGAAAAATAACATACACAAATATATAATATGATATTTAAAATGGAAAACTTTTTCAACAAAACACTTAAGCTAAGGTATTAAAAAATGTTGGTAATTTGGAACTGTTACTGATCCATATTTATCACACGGGGGGCATCTCAATAGTCCAAAGGTTCATTGGTCAAAAGGTTCATTGGTCTGGAAAACATTTTCATCGTTTTTTTTTTTTTTTAATCAAAGGTTTATAGGTCCGAAGGTTCTATAGTGAACATTCAGACCAATGAACCTTAGGACTATTGAACCTTCGGGTCATCGCTATGGCCCCATCACACCATTTGTTTAAAGTCTGCATAATTCAGGGGCGGATCTAGAGATATTTTCTAACAGTCTTACAAATTATCTTTGTTACCATCCTCTATTTTTGACTATCTTCCGACAGCAAAAAATAGATACCTGTCAATGTAAACTTGAAAATCTGACCGTCTTCCAGAAGACCCAGAAAACGGCCTAAATCTGCCCCTGTAATTGTTTTATGAACAGTTGTTGATCTGTTTCACAGTTGAATGGACAAGAAAGTCATTTTATATACCTCTTTTAAGGTTTGGAGATGAAGATACTCCTGAAAATATTGTCTTTGAACAGAACTTAAAGTATGAAGGAGAAAGTCCACTCATAAAAGGAGGAACTCTTTTAAAATTAGTAGAAAGACTGACCTACCATATGTACAGATATGCTGATCCAAAGTTTGTTCGGACTTTTTTGACCACTTTCCGGTCATTTTGTACTCCACAAGAACTTTTGGACTTGTTAATAGAAAGATATCCTTTGAAAAATTCATTGTATTAGTTTGTTTGTTTGTACCTACAATTATCTTTAAATGACAAGTGTACATTAATGATGTCATTAATGTTTTTATAATTAATTATCATTGTGTGAATGACTTGTGTGGTTTGTTATTTAAACTGAAAAAAAGCTACGCAATCTTTTTAAATTGATGTAAATACCTTCCAAAGATATCTGTTGCGTTTCCATATTTTCTCTTCCATTATTCATGGTGCCAGAGATGTGTTTAGTTGTAAGAATATAAAAGCCTTAACTCAGTAGCACATTTAATATACCTGAGCCATTACCTGTGGATCCTGTGAAAGAACTGGACGACTTGGCATACAGGGAAGAAATCAAACGATTTCGGAAAGAGTTTGTTAAACCAATTCAGTTTAGGTAAGTTGATTGGTTTTATGGATATGTTATGGAAGTTATTTTTATATCAAGTGTTATTTTCTCCCTTTTCTGAGGTAGATTGTGAAAAAAATATGTGACAATGAAAATTTGGCTTAAGATTTTAGTATAAGAAATGGTCATTGGAAGTTTATACTGTCAGAAGTTCAATTTGGAATATTTTTTAACAGAAGTGTGATATGTGTAATCTGTCAGAATGGGTTATGTGTACACTTACTTCATTTCTCAGTCATTTAGATTAAACCATCTATATAAAAGATTTGTTTCTATGAAAAAGTCTTGACTTATCGTTTTCATTGATTTCTGCATATCATTATACTTTTTTACAGAACTTAGGGGCAGTTTTATTTTCAGTGTTATATGAATCACAGTGTCAATATGATATTCAGTAGGCTCCATGTTGAGTTATACGAAGATTTGAGTTAAGGCAATATTAATAAGATTCAGCTAATACAAAAAAACAACTTCATTCCACATATTTAGATCAAGAAAAACAAAAATCATTAAGTGATGAATTATTTTATAATCTTCTGCTTAACAGCATGAAGTTTCCTCTCTCCTACTATTTTCAGAGTACTTAATGTACTAAGGCACTGGGTCAACAACCATTTCTATGACTTTGAGAGGGATTCAGATTTACAGGACAAGTTGAAGGAGTTCCTGGATACAGTGAAAGGCAAAGCCATGAGGAAGTGGGTAGAGTCCATTACTAAGATCATACAGAGAAGGGTAAGTGACCACAGGAATTCAAGTGGAATTTTTTTCAATTTAATTAAAAATTGTAATAAATATATTTGATTTGTAAGAATTTGAATTCTGATCAGAAATGCACTAATTTATGTTTAACCATTTTGTTGGAGCTGCTGTAGGATTCTAGATATATTTGTACATATTTATATATCTATTATATATATAATTTATATATTTATACATTTTAAAAAATATACTAACAGAAAAAAGATGCAAATATAGCATAGTGCCTCAAGACACTATATTGTGTAAAAATGCATGTATAGTGGCTTCACCAAGAAAGAGGAAATTCAGTAAGTGGTTGGGTATCTTTGTCTTGGACTAGTTGTATGTTTTGTTTGCCTGCAGCAGGAAATCCCTGGTGGAGAGAAGCCGGAAGTGGTCCTAAGTGTGACCCCACCTCAGATTGAGTGGTATGCAGCCCGCACACCTGATGAGTACAATCTCATGACAGTAAGTGTATCTATTAGAGGACAATCTCTGTGTCCCTCCCTCTCTCCCTCTCTCTCTCTTTTTTATTTTATTTATTTGACTGTTTCTCCATAAGAAACCTTTCTTTGATGGTTTATTTGCTTATCAATATATGTTAATCAATGCCCCCTACAATCCTTTTTTGTACTTTTTTCTTTTGCCTTTTGCGTTTTCTAAAGTGTCATTTAGTTTAACTAATATGATTTAGTCTGTAATTAAATAAATAATGATGTCAGTCAGTCAGTCAGTCACATGATACTCACTTTTTAGTCATAAATTATGGGTGTGAGAGCTGTCTGCAACTTCTGAGACATGTTTTGTTGATATATATTTTCAAGCTGAATTTACATTTGATAACAGACTTCTTTAATCTGTAATATTTGTAACATTTACAACAGTATTTGTACATAAGATATGTGAGTTTATTCATAATATTGTTCTAGCTTCATCCAATAGAGATCGCTAGGCAGGTGACATTGTTGGAATTTGATCTGTACCGAGCAGTGAAACCTTCAGAGCTTGTAGGCAGTGTGTGGATAAAAAAAGAAAAGAACCAGACATCTCCAAATCTGCTTAAAATGATTCATCACTCCACCATGGTAAGCTGGAATTTAGAAGTCAAAAGATAACACAATACCATTACATGTTGATATGAAACACAGGAATGTAACATATTTTATTATAAATATTCATGTTGCTATGATCGAAGAAGGTTATATGAAATAGCATTCCCATGTTGTTAAAGCCCAGTTTGTCCTGTTGATGATTGATTCGAGTGCTGACACACAATTCTTTGAATTCTTTTCATAAAAAATATATAATATAAAATATATATTTAATATAATAATTAGATAAATTGAAGTGACATAAATTGAATTTTAGACTAAGCATTTTTTTTAATCCACAGTATACCTGTGTGAACATCCCTGAGTTTCAGAGGTCACTGAAAACTCACCACATCAGCATGTTGATAACATAGATGTGGATTTTCAGCAACCACTGAATTCCAACGTAATATGAATATATGTGTGACTCAAATGCCTGAATTAAACAAGCAGCTAATACTGTAATTTTCATTTCTCAATTACAGTTCACATTCTGGCTGGAGCGATGTATAATTGAGGCTGATAACTTTGAGGAGAGAATTGCTGTGATGTCCAGAACCTTGGAAATCCTGCTGGTCTTTCAAGAGTTAAATAACTTCAACGGGATGTTGGAAGTTGTCAGCGCTCTCCACTCAGCGCCTGTGTACAGACTAGAGCACACGTTTATTGTGAGTAGTGTATAATACAGAGGAATTTCTGTTCTTCTTCATTTTATCATCATTGGTGATTCTTTGTGGGGAGGTGGGAAAGGTTAAAATTTTTCCACTTTACTTGCTTGATATCTTGTCCATTTTGAGTAATATATGATCCTGTTGAAGAGCTGAATGGCAAACACAATATATTCCTTGTTTGATACTGGGCCAATAAAAGCTGCTTTTGTTTCTGCTTACCCCACATGAGATTTTACAATTTACTCATTGACAAGATGGTTTAAAAAACAATAATCTAAATGATTTAAAATAGTGCTGGACTTTTCTGACCTGTTTAAATTTTAAAAAGATAGTAATTAGAATTTGTCTGATTGATTTAAGAATATTCTCCTTGGTTTTACTTATGTAACTATTCTTCTTCTACACAGTATATATTTGCTTTGTTTGCAGGAGTTGCCTCATAAACTCTTAAAAGCATTTGATGAAGCCAAAGAGCTCAACTCTGACCACTTTAAAAAATACATCGAAAAGTTAAGATCCATAAATCCACCATGTGTTCCATTTCTGGGTAAGGCTTCAGCTTTCTTTTAATTTGTTTTAGGATTTCTTATGACCTATTATTCCTTTTATGTTTTGGTAGCATGTATCATAGAAATATCACAACTTTTAAATACTTGAATCACTGTTCATATCATTTTGGTCAAAATACCTGATTATCATGCAACAGAATGTATTTATATAAAGATAATAATTAATGTCCATTGTTTGACAAAAATTCATGAAATAAACTTTTTAGCAGAAACCTGGTGGATCTGATTGTTTTAAAGATTAACATTTGGAATTCTAATTTTAATTGCTCTTTGTTTCAGGAATGTACCTGACAAATATTTTATACACAGAAGAAGGGAATCCAGATTTCTTAGTTAACCGTGGCCCAGGCTTGATAAACTTCAGTAAAAGAAGGAAAGTGGCCGAGATATGTGGAGAAATCCAGCAGTACCAAAACCAGCCATATTGTTTGATACCAGAACCCAGCATTAGGGTGAGTAAAGGATTCATATTGTGTTTAAAGATATGCAGTGCACATTATACCTTTATATAACACATAAAGTACAAAAATATCCTGAAGTTTTAATAATCGCCATGGTATACTCTTATCTATAGATCAGAGAATAAAACAATGACATTTAATGTATTTTATGTTCTAATTGCAGCAATTCTTTGAGAACCTGAATCCTTTAGAGGACATGACTGAGAAGGAGTTCAATGACTATCTGTACAACAAGTCTCTGGAACTAGAACCCAGACATGCCAAAGGACCGACAAAACATGTAAAAAATTGCAATAACGAACATTTAATATAGTGACTAATTTGATTAAGCAAAACTTCTTATCGATGGCAGCTGACACCAGTAATTGACCTCTGTGAGATGGATTTATTGAAAGGGTATTAGATGTTGGGTTCAGACAACCTGTCAGGGATTAGTGCCATTGTTATTGGAATTAATGTTAAACTTTTGTAGAAAAAGTTCTTATTTTTCTCAGATAAGACAAAAAATTGTATGGTAATAATCTGCTTATCCTTTCAGCCAAGGAAAAATGGGTACCCTTTAAAATCTCCCGGTATCAAGCCTTCCTCTGGTCGTGATTCAGTCCTGAAACCCTCCTCCATTCGTGACCGTCATGGCACACTGCCCAAAAGTCTTCACGAAGGGAGAGCATTTAGTTTTGCGAGGCTCCAAGAGGAGGATATTGACCTCCCTGGCAGTCAGTGTGGTACCCCATCTACCCCCAGCACCCCCCTCACACCCCCTGCAGTGAGTCAGGGTAATGTCAGTGACAGTGATTCCAGTGTGTTTGCTCAAGTTCTCATAGGCCCAGGTAAGATGGTTTTTATTAAAGTGTTTTTTCAATATTAGCATTTCTTTACATGTGACCAGATCAATGCCACTCTTGGCCGCAGAAGCCATGACATTTCTATTCGGTGCAGCTTCTATGTGGATTTCTTTACTGCTTCAGTGAAACAATGCTTTAATGATTCTTTAATTAGAACCAATATTGATTTGAATTGCTTGAATTTTATTTTCATTTTAGGAGAAGGCATCCAAGGAAACAATGAGCCACCTGAGGTCCCTCCAATTCCTCCTCCTCTTCCTCCTAGACGGAGAGATCACTCCTCCTCCTCGGAGCCCCCAAGCAGTGTTCCTCCAGTCCCTCCTCGCCCTGACCAACCCCCGCCACCACTTCCACCACGAAGAACCACAGATCCCAATATGAGGACTCATAGTGCTTATGCTCTGCAGCATTTTTATCATGGAGACATTATTTCACATGCAGGTTCCACCTCGTCATTATTCACGAGGCGGAACTCTGACAGAGAGACTTCTTCATCCTCATCATCGTCTGCTTTTGTAAACGGGGATTCAGAGCCCAACTCTGTACCAGCTTTACCGCCAAAAACTTATAAAACCCTGCAGAGAAATCAGAGCAGCTAGTACTACAAGGAGTAATGATTTGCCAAATAGTAATATGAGAGGTGGGTGATCACTCATTATATGGAGTCGATAGTCAATTGATAATCATAATCAGAGCTCTAAGTCCGCCAGTGCCATGGGATGATACAATGGCTCATTGCTTTCAGCTCTCTAGTAGGTTCCAATGAGAGCAGAAGAAATGGAATTTTAAGAAATTAAAAGTTTTTTATAATTATTTGGAAACCTGAAGAATCCATCACAGAGTTCAATGACAGCAGGAGTTAAGCACAGAAATTCTAGGAGACTGGATGAATTCCTGGAATGCAGAATGGATGTAGAGTACTTGCAAGAAGTGAAGATAACTTCTAGGAAAGCAGGCAAACTCCCAAGAAAGTAGAAGTAAACAAAACTGAACTTCAAGGAAAGTAGCAGCATCCACAATGAGAGCAGAAGTTTATTTCCTGTGAAATTCTCCACAAGCAGAGGTTTTTGTATTTCAGCTCTTGGAAAAATGTTTTGCAAGGAGTTTCTGAAATGGAATTCTTCGCGTTTCAAGAATGAACTGAATGTTGTTTTTCACTTTCGTCAGACTATAGTCACATTCCCGATACCAGGATTGTTGTTGTTCTGGCGTGCTACTTCAGCCTACTTAATTGTTCTTCATAAGCCTTGAAAAGGCAGCTGTGTCTAATTGTCATGTCTGTGTCTTTCATATGGAAACAATATTAGCGCAAAGATAACATGGGAAGAATACAAGCGCAAAGATTACATGTAAACGTATATGGGCAAGTTGAAAATATACATGTGCAAATTAAGGCAGACAAAACAGGTACTTTTCACTGTTGGCGACTGTGAAGAAATAGTGGTATATTTTTATAATTTTTTCAACATCATTGAATGATATTGGGATGCTGTTTTTTCTTTGTGCAATCAGATATGATGGAATTTTTCTCTGCCACACATGGTGCACATTGATGGGGTTAACCACACCTTCTGTTATGGTGTGGGTGCAAATCTTTCAGAGAAGTGGAGAGTAAGGGCTTGTTTTGAATGGTGCAAAATTATTGTGACCCCCCCCCCCTCCCATTTCCTCGTGTCACCCCAATGCCAGTCCCAAACTGATGTTGCAAACTGCCATTTTTTTGTACCCTGAGTAGAGAACCCTCACATCTACTACTCCCCTCTACTCCACCATTGCATCTTACCAGGTGTGCTTCATTATACAAATATCATTCAAATTTGAAATTTGAATTTTTTCTGTGGAATACCTTCTTTAAATTTTGCAACCATTTCTAAGGCTATTTTCAATAACATTTTTATGGATCTTTTTAGTTTGAAGACTGAGATATAAGTGAAGGTAAATTATCAGTAAGAACTGATCTTTTTGTGCATTTATTATATACAAATGTTATTTATGAAAAACAGAAACTGTAATGTGCGCACGTGTGCAAACACATGCACACAAACACCTTTTATATTGGTGAGTCAATCAGGTGGCCTTACGATATTTGTCCTAAATATTCCCAAAGGAAGTTCCACAACCAAGTTACTGAGACAAAGATGTCCAGCAGGTCACTATTAAAGCAATCAGTCATAAAACTCTCATTTGTTTTTATTGTTATGCATCATACACATTTGCCACAGTACATCATGCTGTAGAAATCCGAGTATCAGTAACTGTTACAATTCCATGCTCGTGCTTTGATTTTTTCCCAGTTGCTAAAATAAATAATTTTGGCTATAGAAAATGATAACGATTATTTATGTTGGTCATCCATTTGTTGAAAATTTAGTTATTTGGTCTGAACAAAATATATGATACAGTAAGCTTAATAATTGCTTTGACAATACACTTGAATCTTTTTAATTTCAAGAAGAAAATTGTGCAGTTTATTACATTTAGAAAATTGTAAGAATTTCCATATTTACCATCATTTCTGTACGATATTGCTTTCCTCACAAGGCTAATTCAATTTCTTGATGCATTGGAATATATTTCTAAGAACTTAATTTTTTGTGATACTTTTATACATTGGCAGTTGCTAAGAGAGGAGACACTCTGGAAGCTTTTCAAAGTAAACTCGGCCAAAAAAGTTCTGAAACATTGTTATTTTGAATAATTATAAGATAACCATATAAATTGAAATAAAGTGAATATTTTAACCAAATATTGATGGATAATGCACCCACCATTCATTTTTTATGTGCACTGAAGATTTTCCCATTACATTACAAAGTTTTTTAATTCAAAAACAATTGGACCTTTCGGACCTTTTTTTGGTCGAGTGTTGAATTAAAACTGTTCCATATGTCTAAAAAATGAGCAGAAATTACAGCAGATCATGGAAAATCTACGTAAATGCATATGGCTTGTTAAGGTTTTCCAGTCTTCCCATATGGTGGCTCATGTTGACTTGTTGGGAATATTTTCTACTTTTTAGAATCAAGTTTTTACTGATAATACATTTCAAACTAACACAGGTAGATTGGTAAAGAAACTGTTGTCTATTTCACAACATTTGTCTCTGTGATTATGTTACATGTGTTTTTGGTTAGGAAGATTATGTTTTACAGCATCTCAGTCAAGATGGCTGCATTGTTATCTCATTTTAAAAATCACGTCAAATATGACAAAATAAGCATGCCTGCTATGGGCATGACATCTGCCACTCCAACTGCCCAGTCAGTGTCCTTATATCTGTATATTTAAGAGAATTGCTAGGTATGTCATCCCTCTTTCCCTTATATCCCCTGTCATATTACTCTGGGTTATTCAGAGGGCAATAAATTGGTGGCCATATGATGATGCTTCCTTGTCCAATTGTTATTATCATTGTTAATAACCAAGCATGCCCGCCACATGTTGATTATTGTGAAAATTCAATAAAATATTAAAATGAAATTTCTTTTTTTATTTCTGTATTGAATATGAACATTTGGCTGGAACCTGGTGCTTTGTTTTGAAAAAGCCTAAAAAACACCCAAGACTTGATCTTTTTGTTAGTAATTGAGCCGTGAGATTTTTAATGCATTTCACGTGTATTACCTTTAGTGAATTACGATCACAAATTGGCTAACGCATGGCTGATAAAAGCTTTTTGTGATCGATTATCTTGGAGGAAATTTCACTGTAGCGGTGATTAGGCACGTGTAAATATATCCCAATGATATCATAATCTCTACTGTAGCTACAGACTCATTTTTTTTTATTTCAAAACATCTTTTGTATATGTTTGCGCTGCGTGCTTAGGATGACAACTCTTCAAAGGACGCTGTAAAATCCGGGTAGGGATCAATGGTGTTTTTTTTTTTTTTTTTTTTAATTCCAGTATTCTAGAATTTCTTTTCCTATTTATACCTCCTTTATACCTCCTACATTTTTGTAAGTAGAAAGTAACGTACGTTAAAACAAGGTTTTAAAAAATATCCTCTATCTTTCCTGTCTGCGTCATGAAACCAATTGTCCGTCATGATATCATCATGGTGAAACCAAGCCTTGAATCGATGTAATTTCCATTAGAGACTCGTTTTCTAAGTCGCGTTCAGACTAGTATTAAAGGTAAACGTTTTGGGTTCGAAATGTCCGGCCAAATGATCAAATTTATTCAAAGCTTAACGTCCAAAGCGCACAGGGAAACTCCGCGGCTCCTCATTCAGTGGACTGTCTAGGTTACTTTCTGGTCAGCTGAAACCCTCTGGTTCCATTTCTGTCGTCTGGTGGTGGGTTTTACGATCTAAATGGGTTTGGCTTTGAAACAATGTGATTGTGGAGAAACTCACGCGAAAAAAATTGTTTAAAAGACCACATCTGACAGATGATTGCGTTGGCACTATCGGTTCCACACTTAATGATGTTTTATTTAGCAATTTTGTGGAATAATTGAAGTACTCGAAATCTATCTTCATTTTGAACAGTGAAACCTGGTAGTCTTTCCGTGAATCATCTTCATAAGTACAAAAACTTTTCAGCAGATATTATATTGGCCAGAGCCACACTAGAAAGAGCACCATGTTTATTCACAGGAGAACTGCCTTTCGTTGTATCTGCCTCTTCTTGGCTGTTTACTTTTCAGGATCAGATTCTTTTGATTTCGACAGATTGAGACGATTTACAGATTATGAAAAGTTTATGAGCGATGCAGGTTTTTACCCGACTTTGACAGACGGAGAGATAGACCCTTTCTGTGAAAATAGACCATTGGCGAGGTTTAATTTTGCCTGTAAGTTATGCAGCTGCGGGTCCAGAAGTCGGCCCAAGAACCACTTTTGTTCTTCACGGACATGTATACAAGGTATGTATTATACATTGCTTTGATTCTCAGACAAATCACTGGCATGATTCTGGTTTTTTGTTTAGGCAAATCTCGTGCTTCTTTTTTTACAATATGTGAATAACTAGCTCGAATAGCATGCTTTATTCTCCTCAAAAATGTAGTTGGCGATAACTCGACCGAATTTTCATTTATTTCAATACTTTTCCCGTAGGGGGAATACTTTAAGTTTTACATTCCATTTCTAATTCAATTTCATAGAAACATCCTTATGTTGATTTTATCACTGACAAGTATACATATGTATATTAGATAAAGACCCCAAGAACCACTTTTGCTTTTCACGGACATGTATACAAGATCTTTACGCCTTTAACAAGAGTTCGTGTCAAAAATTGTAGATTGATGTCAAAAACTTCGCCTTATGCTTAAATTCGTATCTATAACATTAAAAAAGTAGGCTTATTACTTATCGTAAGTCCAACCTTACCGTAAAAACCAAATATACTTTCTGTAAATATTTTCAACCACCACTTTTTCGAGATTAAGAATTTTAAAAAAGTTAATTAAGAGTTTTTTATTCGACTAGGGAAATCGGTTAAATTGGATAAAATTGTTGTTTGTTTGTTTTTGACAGTTGACTGTGGCCGGCATGATGCTGACGAAGTATGGAAAGAAGCAGGGTTAACGTGTTCCTGCACCGAGAGAGGTTACGCAGATGGCTGGACGACCTTGAAACCCCACTGTGACTAACGGGCCTCACCCAAATGACCGGAAAGTCTTCAACTCTCCCACATTTGAGCAAGTGAAAACGCGCAAATCGACAAAAACAGTCAAACTTATTTTTCCAAATCGCCGCGCAGAATTTTAAAGTCAGATTGACGGATATAATTGAAGAAGTGGGCAACAAGACTCTAGGATTTCCAAACAGCTTTATTCCCACTGCCTAAATTCTCCCTCTCTACCCACCACCTGTCCTATTTATACCTCCCTGTACGTTCATATCTAATTGCAATATGACCTTATAATAAATCTTTTTTTCTGGATTTAGTCTAGGCGCGCGTCCTAGGGGGCGTGGGACATGTTAAGGGGCGCCACCGCGTTCCTTACATAATATTGACAATATTAATTAGAACCAAGGACTAACACACTAACCTTGGCTGAATAATCTATAAACCTACTGTGTCATTCGTTTTCTGTTGTGTCCGGGTATATAATAAAGTTTCTGTTTTTATACGTATTGTGTACTGTATACCTGTTCTCTGTTGTGATGTTCAATATCTGATATAAAATTATATAAAAGGCTGTTATTCAAAGGGGGAATCGCCTCCCGCCTTTTTTTTTGCAAGATAAGTCATCAGAAAACTGACTCAATTTACGTCAGACAATGCTGAAGTTTCTCAATATCATTTGACAAATAATAAATAAATAAATAAATAAATAAATAAATAAATAACATAGCATGACATTGAAGATAAAAATGGAATAAAAGATCAGCCAATGATGTATATGATGCATTTGACACGCATGTTGAACACATTTTTCACCATAAAAATGCCCCTACCCCCAAGACAAAACAGTTGCATTCAGAAAACGAAACCTGTATAGAACTTTCGTCTATGCAAGTCTTTAAAGTCCGTTTAATCTTCCGTAGGACTTATATTATAATGCTGTTCACTTCTTTCAATATTACCTGCAATGTGCAAAATAATTCTTCTTTTAGAATATTTCTAAAATGTGTGGCGACTGTGCGAAATATAATTGTATAAAATGTGCCAGGCCTTATTTTGTTTTATATCCCTCCTATCGCATAAAAACCAATGCTCTTTATGGCTTTTTAAATTAGATTGAGTATGCTTTTAAATCTGACGTATCAATTTACGTAAGTTGGAAGCGTAATCCAATTGTCATTCCTCGCGTGAATCCGAAAGTTGATAATTTCTCATCATTTATGCGGGAATATCAATTCTGGTCAACAAAATGACAAAAGCTCATTGAACCTATTTAATGTGTTTTTGATATACCTAAACGAATTTAGAACTTCACTACTTTTTGCCACATTTTTATGTAGACCTAGGACCCACCAATCATGGGTCCTAGTGTAGACTAAAATTTACATTGTCCTTAATAAAAATAAATAAAAAATTCGTGTAGAAAAAAACATGGGCAAAAATTGGGAAAAAAGTGTATCCAACTGAACTAAAAGTAGGCCTAAAATTACTTTTGCTCAAAAATGTAAAGAACAGAGTTGTCCTGTCCAACGAAATAATGGCGAAGAAATAAAGGTAAAAATAAAAGGGAACGGTAGCCCTAAGATCTAATAAACGGATATTAGATATTGGTATATTAGATCTTATGGTAGCCTAACCTTAAACTTTACGTTTGACTTGACTCATTTGACTAAAAAGCTTATCTTGAATCATGTTCGCCTTTTGATGACCTCTGGTGGGAAATGCAGTCTTCAGTTGTTGGAGATCTGAATACGATTAACCTTATTTTTTTTCGTAAATATTAACACAAGCATACGCTAAAAAGTTTGGTGCTTAAATTTTTATAATGAAGAACATAGAACTCAAAAGTTGAGGTAAGCTTGCTGAAAAACAAATATGTTCAACAATATGTATACTGATATTTAGTTTGAGACAGCATAATGAAGGCTATCTAGTCAAATGTGCCCGAGTGTTCAACTTGCCACCTCATCTCGACAACTGATCTCTTACGTTTATGTTACAACCGTTGCATTTATTTCATTGAAATAGATTGTATGTCAGAGGTCAAATGTTAAGATATTCGTACCATCTCGGTATCAGGTGTCCTTAATTTCTCCTCTTGTCTTTAGTATGAATGATGTGCCTCAAGCACCCACGTATTTCATAGTTTGAAAAATTCATTGTGTTTTCGTATTTTTGTAACATAGACTATTGTGTGTGGTACTGATAAAATGGAATTAAACATTTAAGATGCAAATACTGTAATAAGCCACAGCCATGGATAGAAGCAGCAGGTCAGAATTACTACAGACCATAGCCAGTCAACAGGAGCAACTGGGGAGATATGAAAAGAGACTTCGGGGTAGGATTGATTTTCTTCTGTCTTTAATAGTATCTTAAATAGTGAACATTTTTTTTATTTTTTAGATGGGTTTCATAAATTTCTAAATATTTTACATGCAGTGATGCAAGGTAATATTCTCTTTATTTATTCCTATTTGATTAAATTTAACTGGTTGGAAATTCAACCTTTTGTGAAAAATATTGGTAAATTTTCTTGTTACAGATGTTGTTGAGGCTTATAAAAGTTTGCACAAGGAGAAAGCTGCCTTAGAAGCAACCATTCAGGCCTTGAGTTGTAGTAAAAATGGAGGAGACAAAGCCAAGAAAGGAACAGAGTCTTCTCACGCAACCAGGCACAGTGGGGAACACGTTCAAGACCCATTAGGAGCCCAGGTAGCAGAATGTTTTATTATTTTTAGATACAAAGAATTGATGGAAATCATCAGCCAATGATGGAAAAACGTAATGTCCATCATTGGCTGATGATTTCCATCATCATCATCATCAGCCAATGATGGAAAAACGTAATGTCCAGGTTACGTTTGCATAATTTATTAAATCTTTACCAAATGCAAAAACTATTTCCCCCATTGCTTTTTTATTACGAACCCTTTTTGCCACTTTTTGAAAATTGATTTGTCAAAAATATGTGATCTGAACATAGCAGCAAAAAATTTGAAAAAATTCTCTCTCAGATAGGGCTATGTATTAGTATCTTGCAGATTGTAAACAGCCTGTTCTTTTTCCAGTAATCTTAGATTATATACATTAAATAATAATTGTAAATATATTGTGAGATCATGGTATGATTGAGGTTGATTTGCACAACAGTTTCTGGGATGTGAAACACCAGTAGACTCTAAAGCTTTGAATAGAGAGTTAAAACATTTTACATGGCAGTAAATCTGAGCTTCTTTCTTTTTCAGGATGAATTTGGAATTAATGATTTATTTCAGTCTATGGTAACATTTTGTACTTTACAGCTTCAGGGGTTGAGGACTTGTGTATAATTGCCATATTTTCATTTTGAAATTTATAATGAGCTGAATCTATAGGAATTATCTGTGTAATGGAGTTGGGGTGTGCAGTTAGTTCAGTGGGAATTAGTCTATAAGAAATAAGAAATAATTTTTTTGTAAACTACTCTGCCAAATATCTGCATTAATATGATTGTTTTGAAATTTAATGATGATTTATGATTATTTGATGTTACAAATTATACAGCTTCTAACATGTATAGACCAGTGACAAAAACATCTCAAAAACTTGTTTTATAAATGTGGTTTTTGTGCCACTCTTATTTTCCTTGATAAAAAAGCAATTTTGGGACATTTTCAAATATGAATAGTGTACCTTTATATGATATTTCACTTAAAGCTCGTAGAAGTTCATAGCTGTAGAATTTATTGAAAACTAGGAAATTTGATAATTTGTGCAGGGGTTTTAAAAATGTTTGTGGATTAAAAAAAAATGCTGTTGTCCTGTGTATGTTGCTTTGGAAGGGGCTGGTGTTAAGTGTTTCTTTGTTGTAAATTCTCAGTCTGGAAAAGTACTGTTAATGGATTGATTAATGCATACCCAGGTTGAATTGTATGTAGATTAATCGCAGATGTCATTGTCTTAATATAATTCTGTGTTGTTGCAAATCAAATGTGATAAAAAATACCATTATACAGTCAGGTGAGCTTTGATTACATTACCTCTGTCAGAGACTGTGGTCTCAACAGACTGCAGTGTTATCGACTTATCAAGTAACCTTTTGCCAGTTCTGACAACTGAAAATCAAAACTTTTAAATTGAATGTGTTTTATTTATGAACAAATTTTATCTTGATATAAATTTTGTTCTTTTAGGATCCAAAAGAGGTTGAGTCAAAGGACAAAACAGATGGAGCAGATGACAGGGAGGAAGGTGATGACCAGGTGGCCACTCTGACCACCTCTCTGCAGACGCTAATGCAGGAAAAAACTAAAATGGAGACCAACTATCAGGCCGAGAAGAAAAAGATGAGGGTAAGCTCCTTTCAGTAGGTTGAAGGGTCAAACTAGAGAGCACTCTAACACCCCATTTCCATAGATTAGATCAACCTACTTTAGATTGACCTAACTCCCTGGGGGTTCACGTTAAATAGCTGTCAGCCGGGCGGACACGAAAGTTAATTACCCCCTTCCAGCTTGTAGTAGGCGGGACGGACATTTAAGTCGGATTATCTGAAGTAATCTAGTGAGACTCCCCATGGGGATAGATCGATCTAAAATCTATGGGAATAGAGCCTAAGACTCTAGACCTCCTCTGAGCCAAAATGTAGATTATAATTAAATAAAAATATATAAAGAAAATAAAGACACCTGTATTTGGGTGAAATTGTACTTTCTTTCCCTGAATGAATGTCCATTTGAAAATTTTATTGCTTACTTTTTGAGATAACTTGTCTGAAATATCAAATAACACTAATAAAATCTTAACATTCGTTGTTGGAAGAGATAAGAAAAAAAGCATCTTGAGAATTAAAGCTCTGTTTAACATAACCACTGGCCACAGATCTTGTTAAATATAATAAATACAACAACACAACAACCATATCTTGACTATTAACAGTCCAGGATTTATTGCATTTTGGGTAAACCTTTTACAAAAAGTCTGAGACTAAATGTTTACCAGAAATTCATGGCTGTAAATAATCTAAGTGCTTAGATGTGCTCAATACAAGTCTTTTCATTTTATCTTCACAAGTGACATTTCATTTTCCCATTGGGAAAATGTTGTTGATTCTGAAATGAAGGGAAAATATTCTATAAAACCCATCTTTGGTTTTTGTTGTTTGAAGTGATGTTTATGAGATGCAGGGATTTGTAAGTGCTACAATAACTGTAAAAAAAATTGTGAAAAAAATTGCTAGTGTGACAATAACTGTTAGAGGAAAATATTTATTTTTTTCAAGGTGAAAGAAAGAGCGATAATGACCTTTTTTTCTCTATCTGTAGTTTTAATAAGCTTACCTGTTACTGGGTAATTGTCAGAGTTATGTCACTGGCATCTTTTTTGTCTAAAGACAAAACCTGTATTGTTTGGCAACATGCACATTAGTGGATAACAGCAGTCCTTATCCCTCCAACACTTGCTGTATTTCTTTGATGAACATGATCTTTTTTCTCTCTCTGGTGGTCTGAAAAATATAAATTTAGATGTTTCAAGCTCCAGTTTACTTGTATTTCAGTCATATTTTATAATAGAACTTTAGTTCGAAACTTGATCTCAGCTTTTCAGTTTAAGGTAAATTCATGGTAGCCCATTGAATAATGTTACAGTTGGCCTAAAACATTCGCCATATCTTTCTTATGTAACTGGACTACTGCTGATTTATATTAAGTCAAAGTAGGCTAAAATTTGGTCTAACTTAAAGTTTGAGAATGATACAATCATACTGTGAAACGGGTTTCAGGTGACAGTTGAATAGTAATGTTTTCACATGATATAATGGCAAACGTTGGGTAAACTTTATGGCTACTGCCTTTGGTTTTGTAGCATTTAATAGATTCTCTCATTCAGTTCATTACAAAAAAAAGCACAGCAATAACATTTTTGCATTCAAGTGAATGATTTTCACCTCTTCAGAGATGTTATTTATTCAAACTTTTTCAAGATAAATACCTAAGTTTGTGATGTCATTGATAATTGATAATATTGCATTGTTAAAAAATAAATGATAAACATAAGCACTTACATTTTTTCCAATGTCACTTCTACTTCATTCAGTGGAGTACCTGAGAGGAAGGATAAAATATTTTGAATATTTGTTCTAAAACTTGCATTTTCTGGTATCAGGATTGATGTTTTATTAAAGATAAAACATGATTATTTCACCAAAACATTTCACTAATTAATTAAGAATAAAATTGATTTTGTTATGCAACTATCTACAAATAAAAATAAAAAAAGTACAGTTTGTTGAATGTTTTGCAAAATATATCAGTCAATAAGGCCTTTCAACTTACCATGGCATTGATAGGAAAGGAGAATTAGAACCAAAATTCCCCCTAGCAATATTCTGTTCATGGTGCTACTATATTTCTGAGGCAGATGCAACTTTCAGCAATAAAACTCAACAGAAATGGAGCGACAGGCAGTAATATATTGTATTCGCATTGAACTTATATTCACATTGACTCCTGCCTAGCTTTAATATCCGTCTAATGATATTCGGATGTTCTGTTTAATTGCCCATAATAGTGGAATTGTACTCATCAGGCGTATACTAAAGGGGGGGGGGGGGGGGGGGGGATTCAGACTTGTAATCTGCACTTAGTGCAGTAGTCTTGTTCTTTTCCATTCAGTATTCTATTCACACTTGGAAATTAATTTTGAACTTACTTTTTTCCCCACAATTATTCATTACTTTTATTTTAAAACCACTATTGTTGCATGGTTGAGATTATATTCTATTTGTGAAGTGCTCCCTAACCCTCATTATGGCTCATCCCATGGAAATTACCAGTATTAGACAAGTACTCTGTTATGATGATTTGCAGAATTGGAAATGGATGAAAAGGAAATGAGAGTATTCATACGGCCTTGTGGTCTCTCTTTTGATGTTTATTCTACCAGATCCTTGCGGTTTTTTCCATATTGTTCTGATTTTATGCACTGACAATGTTACAAAACTAGATTTATTTTCAGTTGATATTAGATGTTATAGCTAACATTAGTATTTTTCATATGTGCAATCATATTTAATTATATTTAATTAAATTATATTTAATTCAAGATATACCACTGATAATTGTAGCAACCATTATTTTACTGCAAAAACTTGATCAGATTTGTTATGATATTCCATTTATTTTTCTTAATGTACATTTTATATGCATAGCTGACACTTGATACGTGGTAAAACACATTGTTCACTGTCCATGGATTTGAAGTTTTGATCAGAAATCATAAATATTTATTCAATTGTATAGGCAGAATATGATGAAAGGATTAAAAGGCTGAAAGAAGAGTTGGAGCAAAAAGGAGAAAAAGAAGCATCTTTACAAGAACAGTTACTGCAGGTATAAGAGGCATGCTTCCTGAGCAAAATTTTCTACTAGAAAGGCAAACATTGAACATTAGACCTTTATGTAGCAAAATGTTGATATTCCAGGAAATTTCATTTTTCACCTAATAACCAGTGTGTGCCATACCAAAGACCATTCACAGAATAACAATCCATAAACCAATTTCTAGATATTGAATCACTCTCATAATGGGGACAGAGGTTGTTTATATTGGAAAAATTAGACATTCAGAGCCTGAGAACGGATTTACTTATATCCATGTATTTTAAAGTGTAAAGCCTACACCTCTATGTTTGAAATATTTTCTTTCAAGTTTTCAGAAATCTCTCATTCATGTAATGATTATTTAGTACATTTTCATCAAAGGTTATTTAAAAAATACAGTCAAGCTTTTTCTATTGTGTCAAGGATAGCTCTAGAAAATGTATTTATTGCAATATTTTGAGACTTTAATTTAGTTGAAGAACCGACTAAGAAGTGACCATGAAGAGAGAGAGAAGGAGCAGAATGATCATGCAGTGATGTTGAGAGAGCTACAGAAACTTTTGGCAGACGAAAGGAATGCCAAGGAACACTTGGAAAACCAGGTATTTACTTGTAGACAAAATAAAGTGTAAATTGGTAAAGCTTTACAAATCCAGTCGGCCAGTATTTTTAAGGCATCCCTAAAAGTACAGAAATGTAGTGTGAAAAAAAAAAAGAGTCATATTTTGAACGTTTAATGTAAGTCAAATTATGTATAGATTGCTAATCCATATGAAATACATTTCTTTTCTTGTCAGCTTGATGACACCAAGGAGCTTCTTGCAGACAGCAGAAGACAGCAGCCAGAGCTGGAACACCGGTATGAGAAGAGGATCACAGATCTGTCTAAGGAGCTGGAACATCTCAGGTCTCAGCTAAAGGCCTCAGATGAAAAATCTGATCAGCCGTCCCCCCTGTTACTGGAGTTGCAGAAAGAGATGGCTGAAATGAAGGTTAGCCATAAATTTGTTTTAATGCGATTAAATCAGTTGGCCCTATGTGTACATTGAATTCATTTGATGAAGTTTGCTGTATTTCATATTCTGATAGCGTCTTGTTGATTTCTGTGGACATGGTAAAAATAATGCTCTTTAAACCTAGTTGAGATAATTTTAGGTTGACCAATGTAGGAATTTATATGGTAGGGCCTTTGTATTCTTTATGGATTTAGCATGTTTTTGTCACTTTTCTTATCCATGTTACACGAAGAGTGCATTTTTGATCATGTATTCAGAATCTATTATATATATATATATGTGTGTGTGTTTATGTCGTATAGAATTTTTTTCTTTTTTAACTAGGCACAGTACAAGCAGCAAGTACAACAGGAGCAAAAACGTGCCAATGAGGCAGAAAGCAGACTTGGTCAGATAGCTCAGCAAGGTGAGGAGAGGGTATGCGGACTGGAAAACAAGCTGTCAGAACTCTCCGAGACAGTGGGAAACTATGAACGGCTTCGCTATCAGGACCAGATAGCCATTCAGAAACTGAAGGACAGGATAGCTCAGCTGGACATGGAAAACTCAGCCTTGACCAGGGCTGTCCACTCTGAAGTCACTGATGAGGATGAACGCAATATGGATGTCCAAGGATTGGCTGACAAGATAGGGAAACTGAAAGATCTTTTGAAAATGGCCAATGAGAAGTCGGAGAACCCTATTAATGTGCAAGGTAAGGTATTCCAGAATACCTTTAAATGATTTTTTGTTAGTTACTGGAGCTTAGCTGGAGTTTATGATGCTGTAGTCCAAGTTCAAAACTGGGTCTGGATCTTATTTCAATTTGGATTTTTTTTTTTTTTTTTTTTGCAGTTGGCATCAATTTGATATTGTCAAAAAGTCTCCAGATTTGATGTATTTTATGATGGGATTTCAGGTTCTTTTAGCAGCCCTCCATTTTCAGTTCAGGTTTATCGGACCGTAAAATCTTGCCATTCGTTGATGTTTCCACATTATATTATGTAAATGTGGTAGATGCACTTTGAAAACATCATTACTGTTATTATTTAGAAAATGGGATATTGATTAGATTTGCTACTTCACCTATGACAAATTGGAGGTGGATGTAATTTGTAGCTGTATGTAGTGCCACATATATCATTTGTTAGGCTATTACATTGTTCAGCCTAAATGTAAAATTGTTATCTGTAGTCAGCAATAGTTTTGAATCCAGTTGAACCAAAAGATGGTTAATTTTTGAGACAGCATTTGAGAATAATAACAATTTAAAATATGTTTGAATAAAAATAGTTAATGTGTGTGTAATAAGTGTGTGTGTCATCTCTTACTCCAGGCTTTCTGTAAAGAAATTTGTGTATAATTAATATTATTTCAATGCTTCCTGCAATGTTTCCACCTTTGCTGTAGAAGCCTTTTCTAATATAGATTAACCAGCAATGCGTTTTTTAAAAATACTACTTCTGTTATACAATTCCTCTTTATTTGACTAGAACTGTTCTTAAGTGGAATCCAGATAGATGATGACAGCCTTCACAAGAGGTGCCATGAGGAGTTAGGCCAGCTTAAAGAGGAGTTTGAAAGATACAAGCTCAGGGCTCAGTCAGTCCTGAAAAACAAGAGTGCCAAGGTTTTAAATTTTTTATCTTTATTCTTAAGCACTGCCATTTTTATATAGCCACTACATAGTGATTTTGAGCACAAAATTTCAGTATAGATAAATGAGTTAAAATTAACACCAAATTGTTAAGATTTGTGGAAACAGTTACTTCTTAATGCTGCTCGTATCCAATTATTCTAGTAACATGCTAATTTTTTCATCTTTTTTTCCATTTTTCAAAAAGTATTTATGTTAAAAAATTGTTTCATATTTCTAGAGGGTACAGAATCTAATGCAATGCCTGTATTTTACTTAAACATTTTAAAGAATGCATAACACATTTGTTAAATATTTTAAATGAATTATATTTTTCAGGATACAGCCAATAACCAAGAAGTGGAATCTTACAAGAGCCAGATAGCAGAGCTGAAGGACCGTATTCGCCAACAGAGGGCAGACAAAGAAGAAATGGAGTTAGATTACAAACAGCAAGTAGCCGGGTTACAAAGGACCTTGGCTCAGATGGCAGAGGCCCACAAGGCTGACCTAGCCAGCACAGAGATGGACCATCAACAGAAGATGACCAGCTTAGAGCAACAGATACAGAAACAGCGGGACAGGACTGTGGCTCTTCTTGCAGAGAAAGACCGCGAAATAGACCAACTTCGGTGCAGTATACCTGGATGGAGGCCAACTGAACGACAGGGATCGTTAGGATCGGAAGAAAATGAGACTGAGGAGAGTGTTGCTGTGGAGAACTTGCTATCACAGTTTCCAAGTTCTCTACAGAATGAAGGAACGTTGTTGCATTTTGCTCAAGAACAGGCTAGGAAAGTGGTCGAGAACAGCACACTCAGGAAGCAGAAGCACCAGGCTGAGCAAGCTCTCCGTGAGGTGCAGCAAAGTTTCATGGCTAAGGAGGAACACTATGTTGAGCAAATTGAGTTTCTGAAGGAAGAAGTGAGGAAATATGAAAGGAGCAAGTCAAGGGAAAGTGCAAATCTGGAGTATTTGAAAAATGTGGTTTATAACTATATGATATGCAGGGACAGTGTGGGCAAACAGCAAATGCTGAATGCAATAGCAACCATCTTGCAATTCAGCCCCAAAGAGAAGCAACGGGTGCAGAAACATTTGACAGCCTGGTGGGGGTACTATACTTCTTATTCCTCAACAAAGTAGGAATTTTTTTTTATAGGGTAGGGCTTTGAATTTTCATGTCTGTTGTCATTTTCTGTCTCAGTGGACCGGAAATAATGACATCAAGTACACAATTAAAGCATTTATATCAAGAATTCAGAGTAAGCTGTATAATGAAAAGCTGGGGTATGAAAAACAAAGATATAAAAACACTATGGTTAGAATTTATTATTTTAAAAATTAAACATACTTTTGCTTCTTAATGGAAAGTGGGTTGTGTTGTAAAAAATGTAGATGAAATAGCCTTTTGCCCAATATTTAACAAAATGAGCAAGTAATGAATGTTTAAAAGAACCAAAGTCCAATTCAAATGTTGAAGGGAAGATGGCGCCACTGGATTGCTTATTATTTGTTCTGTTTGGAAACAAGAAAATTACATTTGCTACCCTTTAGGATAACTTAGTCAGTAATGGTAATAGGGACCATCCTTAGACTAAAAGCTTCAGGTGTTACAGGATCTTTTTTAATGTGATATTCTTAACATAACTCCAACCCAGGGGATGTATACAGTACTATGTGCATGGATTTAAAGTGTTATGAATTTGGACCTATATAGCTTATTTGTCGTTAAAATGCGTTATGGGGTTGTAATTTTGAAGTTTTCAACATTGTTTTCAGGTTATGGGTATCAAAATGGGGTGTGAGAAAAAGTTCTGCTCACATACTATCAAATTGGTTCTGGATTCTTTGTATAGGAATTTAAACTAATTTTTCACGTTCTTGGCTGTAATGGGTACAATACAAAATAAATATTTTTATGGCCAATTGAAAAATGTCTTGAAATGTTTGGAACATGAAGTGTTTTCCAAAAAGGTAATGCTGAACAATTATTAAAAAGAAACATTTTATTGTGTAAAGTTTATTTTTAAGCAACAATCATGGCAGTCAAAAAATATAACTGCAAATGAATAGGGAAAGAACCATATTATAAGCTATATGTAAATCAACAACCATGCATTTTTTATGTAAATTGAGATTTTATACCACCAGACGTCAAGTTGCATCAATAAAGCTGCAGTTTACTTCTCTCTGTCAAAGCTTGCTTCATCTTTGCTACAGTACTTGACATTTGTGTTCTGAACATTTCGTGTCAGATAATCATCACACAATTTGCTTAAAATCAACTGTTCTCTTGTAACCTCATTATTAAAGGGATAATAACTATTCGTTTCGGCCAAAAAATGAATTTTCCTGGAGTAAACAACAATTCTTTTTCGTAAGAAGAATTTCGTTAGTCTTAACTGAGATCCGGTTGCGCGCGCAGGGCACTTTAGTTTGCACGCTAGTTGAAGCAAGGAGTCTTGGTGCAATACTCCTTGGTTGAAGGGCGAATTTGTCTAGTGGCGCCGATCTTTTTCACCGAAACGTGGTTTTGGGTGATTTTTATTGTGCACGTGGTGCATGCTATATCGTTATAGACAGTGGTCTTGCCGTTTGCAACGGTATTTGGCGCAATTTCAGTCAGGTTTCGTCGTCTGCTTCTGGACACGTGGTGTCATGGCGGACGAAACTACATGTAGTACCATTACTAAAAATGGACCTGAACACGTGAGTGATGGCAGGAAGGGTAAAGGGAAGTCGGCTTCAAAAAACCCTAAGTCTGTAGAGAAATCCTCGTCAGAGGATAATATTATGTCATTACTTGTATCTTTAAAAGCCTCTGTGGACGCTCAGGACGGCAGGTTAGAGAACATCGTCAGCCGTATTGATAATATGGAGGCGCAATATTCTCAGTATGACGACGAAGTTTACGTCGATAATGAATGTGTTGAGCCGGAGGAGGCAGGCACATCGGGTGAAAAAAGGAAGTTGGACTCGTATCTTCCCGACACGGAAGACAACCTGTTTAAGCACATGGCCAAGAAGTTTAACATGTCGGAGGAAATGGCCGACAACGTGGATGATGTGCTGGCCAAAACTGTGAACGATCTTTTTATGAATGGCCTGGACGAACAACATTTAAACGAGTTGATAAAACAGAACCACAGGCCAGGTAACTGTGATTACCTGCAAGTCGTGAAAACCAACCAGTTGATATGGGACCAGGTCCCAGGTTGGACCAAAGCAAACGATAGGAAAATGCAAAACATAGCACATACTTTGGTTAAAGGTGCAAACATTTTAGTTAAAACTGTAAACCAGATGGCCTTATACGAAAGGAATCCAGAAAAGGACACGAGTGATCATATTGGCAGCATGATCGAAAACTGCAACGATGTCCTAGCACTCATGGGACATATGAACAGGCAGATAAATATGACAAGGAAAGATTTTTTGAAACCGCAATTGAGCGGAGAATATGCTCACCTCTGCAGTCATGAGCTGACTTACAGCCAAAAATTTTTATTTGGAGACGATCTTCCCAAAATGGCAAGGGATATAGAGGATTGCTCAAAAATCAAACATAAATTGTTTGACAGATCTCTCAGAGGACGTAGAGGACGTGGTGCCAGAGGCCGTGGATCTGTGTACAGAGGTGTTAATCGACCTACTGGAGGGGGAAGACCCAGAGTGTGGCAGGATGATCCTGGAGCAGGGCCTTCTTTTGCAAAAAACTATGTACGCAGGGGACAGAGGAATCTGCCCAAGCAATAAATGAGGTAAATAATTATTTTGAAGCAGGTAGATTGGCTGACTTTATTGATCAATGGAAACTGATTACAAGTGACCTATTTATTCTTGACATTGTAAAGCATTGTCATATTAATCTAGATTTCAACGGTGGGATTCCCGCCATTGTGAAATCAAATTGCAAGTTTAATAGGTTAGAAATGTCCATTATTGACATAGAAATTAAAAAATTATTGGACATGAAAGTGATTATTCCTGTGAATAGTGAAGCAGGCCAAATTTTATCACCGATTTTTTTGAGACAAAAAGAAAATGGTGAATACAGATTAATTCTGAATCTAAAGAAATTAAATCGGTTCATTCCATATCAGCATTTTAAGATGGAAACCTTTGAGAAAACCCTACCATTGATAACCAAAAATGTAAAAATGGGGTCTGTCGATATCCGTCATGCTTATTATTCAATTAAACTTGCAGATGAACAGCAAAAATTTTTTAGATTCCAGTGGAGGGATAAAATCTACCAATATACCTGCTTACCCAATGGGGTCAGTGAAGGCCCGCGATTGTTTACAAAACTTCTTAAACCAGTTTTTGGGAAACTGAGAAGTTTAGGTTATGTTAGTTCAGGGTACATTGATGACAGTTTAATAATTGGCTGTGATGATTTAGAATGTACGGAGAACTTAAATGCAACAGTTACACTTCTGTCCAAATTGGGTTTCATCATAAATGAAGACAAATCAGTTTTGAGACCAACAAGCAAGTTAAAATTTTTGGGAAATGTTATTGATTCTGACAAAATGATAGTAACACTGCCACTTGACAGGCAGGAGAAAATAATTTCTGCATGCGAAGAGTTGTATAATGTTTCAAAGGCACCTATTAGACAAGTGGCGAGAGTCATTGGGTTGTTAGTAGCAAGTTTTTCAGCTGTGGATTATGGCAAACTGTACTATAGGAAGTTAGAAAGAGCAAAGATTAAGGCTTTACAAGAATCGAAGGGTAACTATGATGCACCCATGATAATATCAAACAGTATGAGGTCAGATTTAATTTGGTGGATTGTCAACTTGAAATCCCAGCATAGGGTTATTGCTAGACCAAACCCCTCAGAGACTTTACATACAGACGCATCCACTTTAGGTTGGGGTGCAAGTTATAAAAACAATAATATTGGAGGTAGATGGACGGATGTAGAGGGTAAATTGCCTATTAATGTATTAGAATTAATGGCCATTTTGAATGCACTCAAGTCCCTCAAACGTGATCTTAAGTCAAAGCATATTAAGGTGATGTCAGATAACACTACGGCAGTGTCATACATTAACAACATGGGAGGCACAGTTTCTGAAAACTGTAATAAAGTAGCATGTGACATATGGATTTGGTGTATATCACATGATGTCTGGTTAACATGTACACATATAGCTGGCAAAAATAATGAGGCAGCAGATAAGGCTTCCAGAGAATTCAAGGATGATCTTGAATGGAAATTAGACAGCAAGATTTTTCATAAGATATGTAATTTTTGGGGAATCCCAGATATAGACTGCTTTGCATCTAGAATAAATGCTCAAGTAGAAACATATTGTTCATGGAAGCCTGATCCAAACTGCTCTTTTGTTGATGCTTTTACCATTGACTGGGAAACTTTTAACTCAGTTTATTTGTTTCCACCTTTTAGCTTACTGGGAAACTGTGTGCAGAAAGTCAGACAGGACAGAGCCAAGGGAATCATTGTAGCACCAATGTGGCCCACACAAGCATGGTTTCCGAGACTGATGGAATTGTTGGTGGAGAAACCAGTCATAATACAGAAAAAGAAGAATCTTTTAAGACTTCCTCACCTGCAGTTGAAACACCCTTTGGAAGGGAAATTAAGACTGATTGCTTGCAAAGTGTCAGGAATAGTTTCAGAGAACGAGGATTTTCAGAGGACTCTACCAAAATACTTATGTTGTCTTGGAAAACAGGGACACAAAAACAATATAACACACACATTAACAGGTGGTTTCAGTACTGTAGTAAAAGGACGATTACTCCACTTTCGCCAACTTTGGAAGCAGTAATCGAGTTTTTAACTGAACAATTTAATAAAGGTTTGGGTTATGAGAGTTTGAACACTGCACGTGGAGCTCTCTCAGCTTTAGGAATAAACTTTGATGGATTCAGAATTGGAAATCACCCATTAATTATCAGATACATGAAGGGTGTGTTTGCAGCCAGACCATCACAACCCAGATACACAGAGGTGTGGGATGTTGAAAGAGTATTGACATATTTGAGGAAACTTTCTCCTGTTAAGCATATAACTCTCAAAGATTTGACATTAAAGCTAGTGATGCTCATGGCTCTGACTCAAGCTGCACGTACACAAACTTTGCAGTTGTTAAGTTTTCAAGGTTATAAAAAATTGAGAACTGAGTTTTTGTTCAAGTTAGATGGTTCTTTAAAACAAAATAGGCCAGGTTATAATGTTGTTTCAGTATCTTTTAAGGCCTACCCTCCAGACAGGAGGCTTTGTGTGTATACTGTATTGAAGGAATATTTGTTTCGCACGAAAGTCATGAGAAATGACAAGAACTGTGCACGTTTGTTAATAAGTTACATGAAACCACATCATAATGTCGCAAGAGACACAGTAGCAAGATGGATAAAAACTGTTATGAGTAGAGCTGGTATAGACACTTATACATTTAGCTCTCACAGTGTTAGAGCTGCAGCTACCTCTAAGGCAAAAGCCTCTGCAGTACCTATATCAGTCATTATTGACAAAGCTGGTTGGTCTAAGAAAAGTACTTTTGCGAAGTTCTATGACAAGCGCATTGTAAGTAATCAAGACAGATTCCAGGATGGAGTTCTGGGTAAATAAAGAATCTTTTGAAATGAATGAAATGTTTGTCACATCAAGCTTTAAAGTCTCAGTTAAGACCAACGAAATTCTTCTTACGAAAAAGAATTTAAAAAATTAAACGAGACTTACCTTGGTTAAGTTGAAGTTTGATTTCAATTCTTTGAGTAAAGAATTGATGGAGGGCTTAACTGCCACCCTCCCACCCAACTTTGGGTTACAGCTCATTGCTTGTATTATAGAGGAAGAGAGCTGTGGGGAATTAATGTAATTAATTCCATGTGGTTAATGTGACAAAACACTTTGAAAAGTGCCCTGCACGCGCAACCGGATCTCAGTTAAGCCCTCCCTCAATTCTTTACTCAAAGAATTGAAATCAAACTTCGACTTAACCAAGGTAAGTCTCGTTTAATTTTTTAAATTTTCCCATATTTACCAATGGTAAATGAATCAATTTTTACATTCAAAGTTAGTCCCTGTTTTTTTTCTAAAAAGTTTGGCTTTTTGTTAAAATCTCTTAAGAGATTTTAACAGAGTATAGCCATCAATGGAGGTCACGTGGTCTAAAGACAAGCTCAGATATCAGAAAAATAGCTATAACTGCCGTTTTTGTGGTAAAACAGAATATATTATATTTCTATGAGTTATTCACAATGTTTTTATTGTGAAATATAGATCTCATACGAAGAGTTATTATCCCTTTAAGTATGTTCCATCTTACACTTGTTCCTGGTTTCCTGGTTCAGACCATGTGATCTTCAGTGTCACCAACCTACAGTATGTGTGCATAAATTTTCCACTTCTAAATTCTCTTTTTTTTTTTTTCTAGATTGCTTTTTACATACCTGGCAAAAGAATGGAGATTGATCCACTTTTAGAAGTATGATGTTGACCTGTATTCTTGTGTAAAAGCAGACGATGAAACAAAGAGATTGTTCACTCCTGTGCGCACATCTATATATTAACAGGAGATCAACCAAAGTCTCCTTTTCACATTTTTCTCCCAAACTACAACAATCTGTTGACAACTGACAGTTGTTAGCAATACCTTACGGCAGTGGGAAGATAGTGGCAGTAGTTTGAATTTGATTATAACTGTTAAAAGTATATTTTGAAGGCATTTTCTAGGCTACGACAATTTCCGTAACACTCCAGCATGTATGACAGGAATCAAATATTGTCAATAACACCACATCAAATAGCAAGATTTACTGGCCAAGTGGTAATGTCCTTGGCTGCCACACACGGTGGAGTGGGTTCGACTCCCACTCAGTCCCGTAGGAGTATTTGGCGGAATTCCCTATGATTTTCCCCAGTTGAATCCTGCTGGAACATCATCTGAATTGCCTGATTTTGGTACCATGGCCATGAACTTGAATCTTTCTCCCATCTTTTTAGGACTGATTAGCATGTCATAGCCTGAGAGAAGGTCTTTTCTCTGCTTTGGATTGTTATTCACTAGATTCTACAAAAGTAGAAAAATATTACAGAAAAGATGTTATTTGACTGCTTTAACAAGATGAGTTGTAGAGTAATGAAATTTCACTGTCATTAAAAAATAAATTAACGTTTGAAATTTGAAAGGTTTTGTTCCAGTCAAACAGTCTTGACCACTCACCAGGTCAAGACTGTCATTATGATAAGACTTTTTTCTTTGAAAGAGAACAGAACTTTTATAACAAACAGTATATGGCAGTATAGTGTAAAATTGTGCCCATCATATTTTTCAATTATGCACTTCCCGTATAGAATTATCCACCAAAACTAATCAGACCACTTGAGTATTTTATTTAGTGCTAAGCTTCACTGACTGGGGTGTAAACTATCCTAAAATTCAAGTTTCTGCTTCTGAATCAGAAGTCCAAATCACTCACTTTCAATCGTTCTCCTATTCCCATGGCAGTTAGAAACCGCTCCTGTGTCACTGGACCATGTACATCAACTGGAACAAGAAACATGACAGAAACTTAAAGAACATCAAACATATAAATCGATATCAAAATCCACTTTTGTCTACATCTAGAAGAGGTTAGAGAGTGAATTAATAACCAGGCCTTGGAATGTCACTGAAGTGAGTTCACCAATTGGTTCATTTACCTCTATATCAGCAGCTGATGTAATAAGACTTCTGAACTTGGGCTTGTTTCACAACAAAGTCTCAAGTTCTTGATCTAAGCTTAAACTGCTAACTTCAGACAGCCAGCTATTCAAAGTCAGCTTTGCATTATTGGTCAATTGCAATTAAGAATGATTGGCCCAAAATTAATGTATCTGACATACTTAAAGTAGCCTTGCATATCCTCTGTGAGACAACTTATCCAGCTGGGTCCCAGTAACCAAAGATTTTAGTCCAAACATTGACTTAATGCTTTTTGTGAAGTGGGCCCCAGGCTATTCCTGATGACAGTATTTTCTTAGACACTTTAATTGGAAACACATAATATGAAAAAATATATCCTTAAGTGCAACATCCGGAAGGTGACAGCAGGATCCACCTGCACATAACATAAGCAGGAGCATTTTCCAAGAAGCACCACTTCATGCTTTCCAAATTTTAAACTTCTCGTTCAGAGTTCTTATCAAATACTGTCCATAGGTTTTGCCATCCCTTACCCATGCCCTTGACCATCTGTTTCAGGTAAGAGAAGTCCACATCGGCAGTTAGATCAGCAGACCCTGGCTCTACTAGTGGATTGTGAAGCTGATGGTTCTTGAAAGCCTGTGTATACAATGTTTACAATAGAAATATTGAATGTTCTAACAATCTTTTTTAAAAAGATATTTTATAACTACCTAATTGGTAACTTGATGCTTTATAAGTAGATATAATACCTAAACCAACATTATCACAAACAAATATCTGCAGCAACGAAAATTAGAAGTTTAGTATATACAAAAGATAACATATGCAACCATAATGGACTCAAATTTGATAAACAATGTTTCCTAAGCTGAATTCATTCAAAATTAGGCTGGAGACAAACCGATGTTTATTTCTTTAAATTCTAAATTGAGTCAATATCTATTACCCTAAATGTATTGCCCTTTTCCCCAACATGCCCATAGTCAGCAATGAGTGCCCCTCCCCCATATGCCTTCACTCTTGCTGCTATGTCGTGTACAATAACCCCAGCTTCTGGGCAGATCTCTATGTAATCTCTGTTGCTGTGCTCAAGCTTCTTCCCCTAATGGCCATGGGAAAAAAATAAGATCATACAATTTTTGATTAATCCAAGACATAACCGTTTACCTCTGCACAATTCATCAAATTGTTCAATAGCTTTTTTTATTTTACTTTCTACTATTTCAAATGGCAAATGGGTATCAAATAAAAAAGATCATGTTTTGATGAAATTTTTCTAGGTGATGATACACAGGTTCTAGCATTTAACAAACATAAATCCTAATGAAAACTACCACCGAAGAGAGCATGTTATAAGCAGTGATCTCAATATGTTACCTCAATAAATACTTTTTGTGCTGGTGTAGGAATTGGAGATAAGACAAATTTCAATCCATCTGATGGTTCATCAATTTCAACCAGAACTTCTCTCCATCCTTTTTCTGTTTTCTGCAATAATAAACAGACGATCAAAGGTTAATATGTTACCTAATATTTTACCATACTTCTTGACCTATAGTGTGGCCTGCCTGTTTTCTTTCTTCAAGAAAAAGGTTTGGAATGAAGAAGAGCTTAAAAAATAAACCCCTTATGTATACAATAAAGAAAGCTAAATCTAACTTCTGTTTGCAAATGTCTTTACAAGGCAGCAAAGCTGTCAAATGTACAGACAAAAAGCAGGAAACAACTATGCACAAAATAGGCTACTGTCAACTCTGATGCAAAAGTACATTATGTTAAACTGTAAATTCAACATCAAATTTTAATTATGCTCAACAGGAAATACCAATGAAAGTAAAATGTGTAACAAGCATAAGGCTTCAGGCCCATGAGAGTTCAAGTTCACACTTTGAAAATGTATAACTTCCAGAAAAAGAAGCCAATTAGACTGCTTTTCCAACTCAGGCTGCATGCCGATTTTCGAACTTGACCTCCGTTTTAGTAAGATCGATTACTCCTGAGAGTTTCACGACAACAGACCTATCGGTTTTCCTTGAAATGTGTTTACAGTGTTGCATATATGTTGAAAAGTGAAAGAAAAAAGCATAACTTCTACAATAATGGCCCGATCATCCTG